TCGCAGAGATACTCCTGCTTCTGACTCCTGAGTGCTTGGATTAAAGGCTTGCTGTAAGCACTGTGGCGTGGGTGGAAAGGGATTCTGGCACTCGGGAGCCACAGAATGCTACAGGTCACAGTAAAGGTAGCAGTTTGCAACCCTGTTTCAGGGAAAGGCTTCCCCTGTGTGATAGGAGTTCCGCTCCTCTAGGCTCTGGCTCCTTCGAAAAGTTGTTACTTCTCTTCCTCCGCTCCGTTCCAATGAAAGAAGGGCTCATTCAAACCTCATTCAAGAGGTTTATTGGGAGGGAAGAATCCAGGAGAGTGGCTGCCCTGCACCAGGGATGCAGAGGACAGCCAGGCAGCTGGGATAGCGGAAAGATTTTAGTTTGCAGAGCAAGGATGTAACAAAGGGGCAGGCTGATCTTGTTAAACAGGGCTATTATACAGCCAAGAGAAAGCCAGAGTATGAAAAAAATTTCTCACAGGTCTTGGCCCACTACAAGGAAATAAGCCCCCAACCCTGGAACAAATGATTCCATATGAACAGCCCTGTCTGGGTCACTCCTGGCCAATGGACAGTCTGGGGACTTTCCAAGTCATTCTATGGTTTATCCTTTGAATAAGAATGGGTCAGACCTGGGTGATCTCTCAAACGTGAGATCATACTTTGTAATCAATCACCTTGTGCCCCATGCATGTATGCTGATTTGTGGTCTTTCTCTATAAAAAGGAGCCTGGACCCTTTGAGGGCTGTGCAGCTTTCCCCAAGTTTGCTGTCACCCGAGTGCACTTGTTCAACAACACTGCTTGTTGCATCTCCTGGTTTTGGTGTTTGTGTCGAGGGGCTCTGCCACTGGCCCATCAGGACCCCGGAATTAGGGTCCAACATAGCTACAAGCTGAACAGGTACAGGGTTTATATAGGGATTCTTAGAAGGGGAGTTTTCCCAGGGTGGGGATTTCAGTCCCTGAGCTCAGATTCGCTAGATATCCTGCTCAGGGATTGGTTGGTTTTTTGCACAGGTTTAGGGTCGGATTTGGTTCTGGTTTCAGTGCCAAAGTGTTTCTTTCACCTTTTGGCTCTAAGTTTAGGGCCAGGGTGTATTTCATTCACTGGCTCTGATTCCAGGGCTCTGCTGTTTCGTTGGCTCTGCTCAGGGTATGTTTCTATGGCTGACCCTTTTCCCCCTACATGCATGGTGTGTGTGTGTGTGTGTGTGTGTGTGTGTGTGTGTGTGCACTCGCGCACACTTGTGTGTGAACACCATGGTGCCTATGAGGACATCAGAGGACAATGTTGGAGAGAGAGTCAGTTCTTTCTCTCTACCTTGCAGGTCCTTAGGTCATCAGGCTTGGCGGTAAGTCCCTTTACCCACAGAGCCATAGCACTTTTGGGAATCTTTGTGTTGTTATTTAATTAGCATAGGAATTAATTCACACAGAAATGTGACAATTATGGCATTTTCACGCACAGCGACTCTAGGTTGATTTCCTCTTGTTCCTTCCTGCCACTTCCCGGCTTGTCCCCCGCCACCCACACCCCCCCCCTTCCTCATCACAGGTGCTCTGTTATCCTCCCCGTCTCCCTTCCTTACAGATCTCCTCCTCCTGGGTCCCTTTCCAGTTTCCCCGGCCTCCACCCACACTCGTTTCCACACAATACACACATATACAAACCCGAAAGCCTGAATCCGCGTCTGAGAAAGAACAAGCAGGGTTTGGTTTCCCGAGCCAGAGTCACTCTGTTTAATATCCTTCCCGGTGCCATCTACTTTCCCATCATCATCAAAGGGCGGTGACTAACGCTGAGCCACCTTTGAAGAAGAATGACGTTTATTTTATTTGTGTGTCTGTGTGAGTGCATTGCACACACACGTGTTTTCTTTCCTTCTTTCTTTCTCCTCTTTTTTTTTCTTCTTCTTTAAAACAGGGCCTCATGTATCCTAGGCTGGCCACAAACTCCTTATGTTGCTGATGTTGTCCTTGAATTCCAGATCTTCTCACGTCCATCTCTTGAGAGTTAGGATTATAGGTGTATGATGCACCAGGCTTCCAGGTTATTTCTTTACCCACCTGGAGATTTCAGTTAACAGAGAGGAGGGTTACAAGTTCAAGATCAACCTGGGCTGGGGTGGGGGAGGGGAGGGAGGGAATTTACTAAAAAGTGGGAGCTGAAAGAAGTCTGGTGGCGGCGGCGGTGGAGCGCACCTTTAATCCCAGCACTCGGGAGACAGAGACAGGCGAATCTCAGAATTCTAGGCCAACCTGGTCTACAAAGACAGCCAGGGCTGTTACACAGAGAAACCCTGTCTCAAAAAAAAAAAAAAAAAAAAAAAAAAAACCTATAAATAAATAAAATAGAGGTCAAGGGTGGTGGCTCAATGGGTAGAATGCTTGCTTAGAATGCACATAGCCCTATATGCTATTTACTTTCTTGTTGTGGCGATAAAGGACCGTGACTAAGACAATTTATAGAAGGAAAGGTTACCCTGGCTTCCAGGGTAATAGTCCACGATGACAGAGCAGAAGCATCGAGCAGCAGACATGGCGGTGGCGGCTGGGGCAGAAACTGAGTGCTTGCATCCTCCACTGTAAGTGTGGAGGCAGAGTGAACTAGAAATGTGAGCATCTCTAAACTCCCAAAGCTTGCTTCTAGTGATATTGCTTCTCCACCAAAGCCATAGCTCCTAAGCCTCGAAAACAGCAGAACAAGTGTTCAAAAGCCCAACACTGTGGGCGACAGCTCATTTAATCCACCGCCTCTGGGCGGACAAACAAATATCATTTTAAAAACTCTCTGCGTTCCGGGGAGATGGTTAAGAGCACTGACTGCTCTTCCAGAGGGTCTGGGTTCAATTCCCAGCACCCATACGGCAGCTCAGAACTGTCTGTGACTCCAAGATCTGACACCCTCACACAGACACGCACATAGGCAAAACCCCAATATACGTAAAATAAGAATAAATACATTATATTTTTAAAAAGCGCTTTGAACAACAGTTCTGGGAAGCAGCTCTGTGGGCACAGTGCTTGCCTGGCATCGTGAAGGACTGAGTTCCACACTTACTACCACGGGATAGCATAGACTGATATCCCAGCACTCCAGAAGCGGAGGCAGGGAGGTCAGGAGTTAACTGAGGATGACCTTGGATCCCGCTTACCAGGCATTGGTGGTAGCCTTTAATCCCAGCACTTGGGGAGGCAGAGGCAGGTGGACCTCTGTGAGTTTGAGGCCAGTTTGGTTTACAGAGCGAGTTCCAAAACAGGCTCCAAAGCTACAGAGAGGAACCCTGTCTCGAAAAACATAAGAAAGGGAGAACACAGCTAAAGCATCTTTCCCTGTTGGGAAATTTAAGTGCTTGTCCCTTTCAGCTCTCTTCCTTTCCACCCAGCTGTAGAACTCCATTCTCTCAAGGTTGATCAATCAGGGTTGTTCTCATAACTTTCCGGTGTGCAGTGCCCGAGCCTTGACCCCCAAGTGTGGGTGGTGCATGATTTCCTCCTATGCTTAGCCCATTACTCTCTGTAACAAAAGGCAGCAGCTTCCTCTTCACTTCTTGTGGTGGTCTGTTAAGTGTTTCAATCCCGACACCCTCCGCCAGCTCGGTACTCTGGCCACACGGGTGTGCATTTTCCTTCCTTCCGTTCTATTTTATGAGGCAGAATTTCACAATTCTAGTGGCTATTGAGGCAGGGTCTCACACATTCCAGACTTAGATGAGGGCTATCCTCTCCCAAAACTCATCTATACTTTAGATCTGTTGAAAATCTCCTCCTAACAAACTCCGGCTTTGTCTCCTACAGACTCCACTCTTCCTGAAACTTGTTTCCGTTGCAAAGTCAACCATCCCAGTGGGGATCTCAGAGAACTCAGGCTGCAGCAGGAAATAGCATGGAGCTGAGTCGCCAGTATCCTCTGCCATTGATAAGACCTGGGCACACATCAGAAAACTACATAGGATCCTGTCTGGTACCCCAGCTTCTTCTGGTTCTGTAGGTGTGGAGTGCCAAGTTCCCAGGTGAGTCTGAGTTGCTGCTGCAGTTGATGGACTAGCGCTCTCTCTCTCTCTCTCTCTCTCTCTCTCTCTCTCTCTCTCTATCTCTCTCTCTCTCTCTGACAAGATCTCATGTGGCTCAGGCCAGCCTGGAACTCAAAAAAGTAGCCCAGGATGACCCCGAACTACTGATCCTCTTGCCTGACTCTGGGACCCATTTTATTTACTTATTTACCTATCTATTTATTTGAGGGACTCATTCCATTGGATGACGGTCTGAACTTTTCTGCAAGTTTGCAACGTTTCATAATAAGGTGACAAAACTCATAACAGTGACGCGGGTGATCCCCAGGGGAGCAGGGCCTGGGGGGAGCCTGGGGACAAGTTGAAGTATTGTGTGGGAAAATGCTGAGGATAGCCACTTCTGACCTAGATATTCTAGGATGAGGCAGAGTCTATGGGATACTGCTTTTTGCTACCTGGGCTGCCCTAAAGGCTTGTATGTGGGAGGTCTGGAGCCCTGGGGAGCAGAGGCAGAGCCCAGAATTGGAGTGGGGGGTATGCCTAGAATTCTAGGACAGAGAGCTTTATTAATTTTGTGTTGCATGCATGCGTGTGAGAGCCCGTCTATCTTTGCACTTTGTGTGTGCGCGTGTGTGTGTGTGTGCTTGTGACAGGCTCTCGCTATGTAGCCCACCATGGTCTTGAACTGGCAATCCTCCTGCCTCAGCCTCCGCAGAGCGGGGTGCTACCACCTTTAGCTCAGGTTAGGAGAGCCGGGTTGGAACCCTGATCTTCCTTAAAGCACAGCGATCTGGCCAGCAACCTGGCAATCTCCGCGCGGCTCTCAGCAGCGACCGCCGCTCACGCCCTTACCGGCTCTCCATTGGTCCGATGCGCTATCCTCCCGCCCCATCGCGCTTGTGCGGACCAATCAGACTCCCGCGATGACACGCCTTGGCCGCCCCGCCCCTCACAGGGCCCTGCAGAGGCGTAGGGCTGATTGGCTTGCTCGGGTGGGAGGGGCGGACACGTCAGGGGCGCCGACCACGTGAGCAAAGCGGGCAAAACGGTGACCCAGCCCGGAACCCGGGGAAAGTGCGCGGAACGTACCTGTTGGAGGGGCTGGCTGGACTCGAACCTGGTACCTCCGGGTAAGTCCAACCGCCCCTCCTTGCAGACCGGGAAACGGAAGCCTTGCGGGGTGTCCGGCCGAGGCGGGAGCCCAGTTGGTGTCAGGACGGACCTTCAGGGAAGGACTCGAACCCTCTCCAGAGCTAAGTTTTGGATCAGTCCACGGGAGAGGGCGACTCCCGTCGTCACTTCTTCTAGGAAGAAAAGGATGCCCAGAGACGGGGTGAAACCCACTCAGGGTCACACAGTCTGGGTTCCCGCAGTGTGTGCGGCTGCCACTCGCAGAATTAAACATCCCAGCCCCCTCAGCAGGAGGTCACTCACCTCAGCCTAGGACAGGCTTCCCCCACCGAGGGCTCAGAACCTCCACGACGTCCTCAGATCTTTCCAGAAAGACCCCTCACCTCTTCTTAAACATAACCCCCCACTCTTTATTTCAAATCGGTTATTTTCTGTCCAAGACCCTCACCCCGGTCCCCACTCCGTCTTTACATCATCATATCCAGCTGACCTGAACTTTTTAAAAAAAGGAATGAAATAAAGGTGCTCTTAAACGGGAGGAGAAAACCAGGCCGTGGTGTCACGTGCCTTTAATCCCAGCACTCGGGACGCAGGAACAGGTGGAGCTCTGTGAGTTCGAGCCCAGCCTGACCTGCAGATCGAGTTCCAGCACAGCCTCCAAAGCCACAGAGAAACCCTGTCTCCAGAAAAACAACAAAGCAGCAGCAGCAGCAGCAACAACAATTGGAATAGAGGTTAGGGTCACGGCGACACAGGCTTGTAGTACCAGTATTTGGGAAACCCTAGTTTGCCAGGAGACCGAGCCAAGCGTTGGAGGCCAGCCAGGGGTACCTAGTAGGACCTTGTCTTCCAAATTAATGAGATTGTACAACGTGTAACTGGTGTTCAGTGAAGAATAAATAGAAGATTTGCATACGGTCCAAAGTTAGCAAAACCAGCCTGTGGTGGCGTGGCCAAGACTGGGGTCCTTCTAGGGGAAGCTGGAATTACAGACGTCCACACCCACACCTGGTTGAACTGGAGTCTTCTCCAATGCTTAGCAGCTGCTGTAGATTGAGCCACCCACATGCCCCAGCCTTCTTTTTAATTTTCTTACTTATTCATTTATTCAGAGACAAAGATCTCACTGGGTTGGCCAGGCAAGCCTTGAATTTTGTATCCTCCTGCCTCAGCCTCCCAAGGAGTAGTTAGGATGACAGGCCCATGACACAAAACCTACCTTATTAACGTTGACGTATTTAACAGATAGAATAAATATGCCACCGGAGCCCAGGAGATAGCTCAGCTGGGAAGGTGCTTGCACACAAGCATGAGGACCTGAGTTCGAGTCCCGAACTCATGCCAAGAGCCAGGTAGCAGTCTGGCCAGACTATCTGAATCTGTTCACTCCAGCTTCAATAGGAGACCCTGTCTCAAAAAAAAAAAAAAAAAAAAAAAAAAAAAAAGTGGACAGCAACAGAGGAAGACACTGACCCCACACATGTGCACGCACACAAACAGAACATATTTCTTTTTAAGGTGTATTTGTTATTCTCATATGTGTGTACCTGCTTGGATATTTTGCACAGTATGTGCTCACAGGTGCCCACACTTGGAGGCCAGAGGGCGTTGGATCTCCTAGATCTGTACCTGCAGGAGGTTTTTTAAAGCCAGCTGATGTTGGTGCTAGGAACAAACATGGGTCCTCATGTCTCTAGCCCCATGGGAGCGTATTTCTTAGGATAGACTCGTGTGTGGATTGTGGGGCGGGGGAGACTAGGTCTCATAGTGCCCAGGCTGGACTGGAACTCGGCATGTAATGGAAGACATAAGGCTTCTCATCTCCTGCGTCATCTTCCTAGTGTCAGGAAGCAGGCTTGTACCACCATGCCCGGGTTTGGGGGTAGAGCCCAGGGTTTTGTGTATGTTCGGCAAGCACTGTACCAACTGAGCTACAGCCCCAGGCCCTAGAGTTGTTTGTTTTGTTGTTGTTTTGAGACAGGGTCTCTCTGTGGCTTTGGAGCCTGTCCTGGAACTAGGTCTTAATTAGACCAGGCTGGTCTCGAACTCACGGAGATCTGCCTGCCTCTGCCTCCTGAGTGCTGGAATCAAAGGCTTGTGCCACCACATCTGGCCTGGGTTTTTGTAAACAAATATCTGTGTCCTTACCACATAGCTTTAAAAAGTAAGTGTCACTTAGCAACATTCCCCCACGGTGCCCCCCTCTGTCGGGTCCCACCTCCCTCAGTGTCCCCCTCTGTCGGGTCCCACCTCCCTCAGTGCCCCCCTCTGTCGGGTCCCACCTCCCTCAGTGCCCCCCTCTGTCGGGTCCCACCTCCCTCAGTGTCCCCCTCTGTCGGGTCCCACCTCCCTCAGTGTCCCCCTCTGTCGGGTCCCACCTCCCTCAGTGTCCCCCTCTGTTGGGTCCCACCTCCCTCATTGTCCCCCTCTGTCGGGTCCCACCTCCCTCAGTGCCCCCCTCTGTCGGGTCTCTGTGTCCTATACCCGCCTGACTAAGTAATGGTGAACTAGTACAAACAAGTCCACACACAGTGGGAAGGAGCTGCAGAGAAAGCCCAGTGGGAAGCCCCAGTTACTCAGCGACTTGAGGCTCCAGCATCAGCACAGCCTCCCAGGGACCCTGGCTGGCATGTGCCCTGGCTTGTGAGGGAGACCTCAGACTCCGGGGGTGTACAGACACCACACAAGGCAAGCCCAGAAGCATGATTGAGGCCCCTTAAGGCACACAGGTTTCTCTCTCGTCAAAAGTGTGGCCGGGCAGGTGGCTTTGCCAGTCTTGCCTCTTTTTCTGTTTTAAATCTCGGGGAAAATATAAAATAAATCTACCTCACTTATCTGGGGAAGCGGCTCCTTCAGCAAAGTGTGCGCCCGTGCAGGCATGACTGCCGTGTGGAAAGCCAGGGTGGGTTCAGATCCCCGGCGCTGATGTGAAAGGCTGGGCATGGTTGCATGTGCTTGTTGCCCCCCCGGCATTGGGGGGGGTAGAGAGACTGGTTTAAAGAGGGACCTGCGAAAGGCAGAAAAAGTAAGGGGCAATAGAGGAAAATACTAGACATCCTGCTGCAGCTACACAGGCACACACACTCGTCATGCATGTTACATGTGAGTGCATGCACTGATACACACACACATACACACAGACACCCCAAAGGGAACAGCACCTGAAGAACAACAATAGAGGTGGTCCTCTGGCTTCCATCACACTCGGATACAAAAAGAAATGGGAGGGAGGGAAGGAAGGAAGGAAAAGGGAAGGAGGGAAGGAAAAAGGAGGAAGGGAGGAAGGCAGGGAAGGAGGAAGGAGGGATGAAGAGGAAGGGAGGCAGGGAGAGGGGAACAAATCTTAGGGCAAGACAGCAGGTGAAAAACTCAGGAGATGGAGCAGGAGCACAAGATGCACAGGACCACAGAGCCAAGTATGTGAGCCCTGGCGAACCCTCTCCCCCTGCGGCGTTGTGCAAAGCTCCAGTGACCTTACCGGGGCATCAAGGGCACAAAGAAACAACAGATACCCATTCCCCGTGGCATGGCTGTGCACGGCCAAAAGTTAATATTTACTGAAGACTTCACTTGAATCCCTAACAATCCCCGCCTGAGCCTCTGCCCTCTGCCCACCCCTAGGAAATGGCAGCAGCCAGGGCTAGCCTGGGCCGGATCCTCCCCGAGTCCTCCATCCTGTTCCTGTGTGACATGCAGGAGAAGTTTCGTCCCAGCATTGCCTACTTCCCACAGATCGTGTCAGTGGCCGCTCGGATGCTAAAGGTACGAGCTGCTCTCTTCTTTTCCAGACCCAGGGGTCCAGACCCAAACCTTCCTCCCTGAGACCAGGGGTCCACACCCTAGCCCTCCTTCCTCGGACCCCAGGAATCCAGTCTCCGGCCCTCATCCTTGGGGTCCAGCCCTGTGTTTCCTTTCCCATGTAGGTGGCCCGGCTTTTGGATGTCCCTGTCTTGCTGACGGAGCAGTACCCACAAGGCCTGGGCCCCACAGTTCCGGAGCTGGGTGCTCAGGGCATCAAGCCAGTGAGTAAGACGTGCTTCAGCATGGTGCCCACCTTACAGAAGGAGCTGGACAAGCGGCCCCAGCTGCGGTCTGTGCTGCTCTGTGGCATTGAGACCCAAGTCTGCATCTTGGTGAGACCCTGCCTGTCCCCTGGGTTCTCCATCCTCACCTCCTTTCCCCCTCTCTCGCCCTGGGGCGCTGGCTGAGCCTCCTCATCCTGATTCCAAGTCCCGCCTTCTGACTGGGGCTCCCTGGTCCCTCCCTGGGAGCCCTCCCTGGTTGTGCTGTGGGTCTGGACCTGGACCTCTCTGCCCTTAGAACACCGTCCTGGACCTCCTGGAGCGGGGACTGCAGGTGCATGTGGTGGTGGATGCCTGCTCTTCCCGAAGGTGAGAGGGTCTCTGTGCGGGGGTGGAGGGTGGGTGGGTGGGCCCTGCCCTGCAGTGCCCTGAGTGTCAGGCACACCGCAGCAGGGATGCCTGTCCTCATCTCTCCCTCTCTCCTGTAGCCAGGTGGACCGGCTGGTGGCGCTAGCCCGCATGAGGCAGAGCGGGGCTTTCCTCTCCACCAGCGAAGCGCTCATTCTGCAGCTTGTGCGGGACGCTGCCCACCCCCAGTTCAAGGAGGTATTGGGCCCTCTGGGCTTCTGTGAATAGAAGGAGGATCCCTCCTTTTTGATAAAGGGTCACCTGCGTGCCAGGCTGGCCTTGGACACACTGTGTATTCAAGGGGGCTTTAAACATCTGCTCTTCGTGTCTCTGCCTCCCAAGTGCTGGGATTACAGCACCGGTCCTCCCTGCTGGCTTTTTTAAAAAATCGCTCTGTACAGGGCTTCCTGTTTACACTGTGTGTGCCCGCACGTGCCACAGCATGTAGATGGAGGTCAGAATTCAATTTGAGGGACAGGATAGAATGCACGTCAGGCTTGAAGACACGAGTCCTTGTTCACTAAGGCGTCTTGCTTTTTAATTTGTATTTTATGTGCATTGGTGTTTTGCCATGGGTGTTGTGTCCCCTGGAACCCCGAACAGGAATTACAGACAATCGTGAGCTGCCATGTGGGCTCTGGGAATCGAACCCTGGTCTTCTGGAAGAGCAGCCAGTGCTTTTAACCACCGAACCATCTCTTCAGCCTTTGTTGTTGTTTTTTTTTTTTTTAAATTGTTTCCCCTCCCCCCTCAGACAGTTTGTGGCTCAGACTGGCCTCAGTCTCCTGAGTACTAGGATTATAGATATGCGCCGTTATACCTTACTGAGAGATGTTATTTTCTTCTGAAAAACACCCAGGTCAGGGCAGGCTGGAATAGCAGTATTACATTAGGTAGCACAGAGCAGAGAAGTGTGACCAGCCAGAAGCCACCCCCCCCCCAAGCTCCCTGAAATCAGTAGTGGGTCCCATCTGGAAAGAGGCAGTGGAGATACAGAACTTGCATTTTTTGGTTTAGTTTGTCTGGAGATAAACTGATGAGGGTAATGTGGTTGGCTGCTCCTGTTCAACCAAGAGGGACTTGTGTGAATGAGCTGAGAGTCTGGACCTGCACCCGAGCGAGGGCTTAAAGGCATGACGGGTAACGGGTGATGGGAAAGATGAGATTAGAGGAGAAGAGGAAGACGTGGGCAGGAGGCCCTAAGAGACGTCCGTCCATCACTAGTGGTGCAAGGCAACCCAGCAGACCAAGGTGGCAGGTGATTAGCTCAGCCAGGCAGGTGCGCTGCGAAGCGGATGAAGGAAAAGGAACACCGTGTTCTTTCCCATTTTTTTTTTTTTTTTTTTGAGTGCTTGTGTGTACGTGAGCATTTGCATGTGCGTGGTGAGCATGTGTGTATATACGCACATGGAAACCTGAGGTTAGTGTCTAGCCCCTTCCCTGACGGCTCTTCTGCCTCATGCATGGAGCCTGGCAGGGTCTGTCTGTCAAACCTGGAGCTTGAGGACGAGGCTACGCTTACCAGCCAGCTTGTCCTCTGTCTCTGCCTCCAGAGCCTGCAGTCACACTGGGCCTTGCCCAGCCAGTGTTTATGTGGGCTGTGAGAGTCTGGGCTTGGGTCTTCACACTTGTCCACATGTTTTACACTGAGTCATCTCCCCAGCCCACCCAGGGGAACTTTTATTTTCTTTTTCCTTTTTAAATTTTACTTTATTATTTTTAAAAGATTTGTTTGATATATATACATATATATATACATACATACATACATACATACATACATATATATACAGTGTCCTGCCTGCAGGCCAGAAGAGGGCACCAGATCCCATTACAGAAGCTGGGAGCCACAATGTGGTTGGTGGGAATTGAACTCAGGACCTCTGGAAGAGCAGCCAGTGCTCTCAACCTCTGAGCCATCTCTTCAGCCCTTCATTATCCTTTTTTTTTTTTTTTTTTTTTTTTTTTAAGACAGGACTTGCTATGTAACCATGGCTGGTCTAGAACTCTAATTGTAGATCAGGCAGCTTCAAATTCAGAAATATGCCTGCCTTTGTCTCTTAAGTGTTATATGTTCCTCTATGCCTAGTCCAGGAAGACTTAAAAAAAAAATTGGGCCAGGAGATGGTGGTGCATGTCTAATCCCAGCACTCAGGGGGCAGAGGCTGTAAATTCCAGGCCAGCCTGGTCCACAGAGTGAGTTCCAGGATAGGTTTCAAAGCAAAAGAGAAGCCCTGTCTCCTAAAACAAAAACAAACAAACAAACAAACGAATTATTTTACTTTACGTGTGTGGATGCTTTGCCTGTATGTATGTCTGTGTACCACACGGTCAGTGCCCGAGGAGTCTAGAGCAGGGCATCGGATCCTTTGGCCATGGAGTTTACAGAGAGTTGTGCTCTGCTGTCTGGGTGGTGGGAACTGAACCCAGTTTCTCTGCAAGAAAAGAAAATGCTCTTACTGGCTGAGCCATCTCTCCAGCCCCCAGGAAAATGTTTTAGGAGAGTGGTGGGCTGGGAGAAGCTGCCCGAAGCACCAGGGAGATGGGTTGGTTCTTGATCTTTGACCTAAACCTCCTCTGCCTGTAGATCCAGAAGATCATTAAGGAGCCAGTCCCAGACAGCGGGCTGCTGGGCCTCTTCCAAGGTCAGAACCCCTTCTTGCTGAACTCCAGACCCTGACTTGAGACGGAAGCATCATTTTCCCTCAGCTTTGAATCCCAGGAGTCCACCCAGAGACCTGCCCTGTGGGAGGGGAGGGTGGTTGTGCCTCCTGCTTGAACAGCTGGACTTGGAAATACTGCAAATGAGACTCCCGAGGGAATGGAAGGGGGGGGTTGACTGAGGGGGACAGGTGGACAAGGGACTCTACTCAGTTCCCCCTCATGAGGTGGAAAATCAAAAAGCAAAGAAGTCTCTCAGATTGGGATCCCCAGACTCCAAATAAACATGGATATGGCTGCGCAATAAACCATTATTGGGCTTGTGGGGTGTTGCGGGGCTATTGGGATATGCAAGTGGGAGGGTAAAATGAAGTGAGGTGAGGAGAACAGGGTGCCTCCCCCAAGCCCCAAGCGGGGGCTAGACACAGGCCACATCTGCGCAGTGGGTTGCGTGTGTATCTGAAGAGTTTCTGGCTGTTCCCTCCTCGGGTGGTTCTTCCGCCCAACCCTGCTTGGCTCGCTTCTGTGGTACAATAACACTTGCATTCTGCAGGCCTTTGCACTCCAGTTCTGCTACCCTGAGAGGGAGGGCCCCTGTTACCACGGCTGCAGTGGCCTCTGACAGCCCACATGACTAACCCTGGAAGAAAGCTTCCCTAAACAACTCTTTCTGGAAGAGCGCCCAGGCAGCATCATAGCACCACACAGGCTTGCAACGGAGAGACTGGAAGAGCAGGCAGTGCGAGGCAGGGACAGATTTCCTTCATGGAGCCCCTGAGCGGGTGGGCAACCCGTGAAGCCGTGGAGGGGAAGCCTAGGTTGTAGTGGACACACCAGGGTGTTGAAGATGTCCTTGAAAGGACAGATGCCCTGTTTTGTCAGAGGAAAGTCTTTCACACGAGTTTGCCCTTTTTTTTTGTTTTTTTTTTTTTTTTTTTTTTAACCCTGGTGCCACTCTCAGCCAGTGAAACAAGGGTTACAGGAACACCAGCACTATGGTACTGGGCTCACCCTCCTGATAACTGAGATGGTTACTAAGTGATTAATGGGAGAGTAGCATACACAGTGTGGATACACCAGACCAGGAATTGGTTTTGTAACAGTGAGGAGTGGATGAAGATTTCAACACACCACTCAGAATGGCACGCAGATGAAAAGGAATGGTTTATTTCTGGAATTTTCTGTGTGGTAATTGAAGACCACGAGTGATCGTCAGAACTAAAAACTCGCAACAGAGATTGGATGGGGGTTGTGTGTGTGTGTGGAGCGGAATCACTGGATTTCCTGAGAGGTTTCATACAGCGTGCCCCTTAGGATGGACCTGCCTCTTAGCAGGTCGTAGGTACTGCTGGCCACCGTGGCCGTGGGCCGGGGACATGTGATGGCCTCAGAGAGGGTGTTCTCACTAAAGCCCCCTCCCATACTGCTCAGCGCCCCCCACCCCCGCCCCGAGCTGGTATTTTCTCATTTGTTTTTTTGTGCACAGCGTCCTCTCCTATCGCCAGGGACAAGCTTGGGAGCTGCTGCACCCTCAGACTCGTAGGTGTTCAGGAGGTTGGGTTTTTTTGTTGTTGTTGTTGTTGTTGTTGTTGAATAACTGAATTCACTCCCCCCCCAACCACCCCACAGCATTGTGGGTACTCAGGACAAGGGAAGGGAGACAGGTGGATGCCTGTGGGCGCAAGTCTCTTGCAGTTTCTCAAACCATAAAGCCAGCACCCAGCCCAAGCGAGTCAGAGACACTGGCGCCTCCTGGTGGAGCATCCCCAAGCTACAAGCTAGTGCGCTCAGGTCCTACCAGGCAGCAGGTAGATATCTGTTGTAGACTCCTGGGATAGAAAGTAAGCTTCTGGGGAAGCTGGGGTGGCAAGAGATGCTGCCCTAGTCACAATAGTGGCTACCCCTGGCCAGCACTGAGTCTGGGCCCACCCTGCAACCTTCCAGACATCTGGGCCCCACTCCCTGCTTCTCCTTAGGGAGGACTCCCCGGCCTCCCTTTAAGGGACTGAGAGCTGGAGGACAGGACAGCAACCCCACCCCGCACCGCAGGCCATGTCCTAAACCGTAGGATGTGTGTCTAGAGCAAACACACACGGACATACACACAGGAAGGCAGGACCTGCCCTGATAAGGACAGAAAGTCTAGATAGCTTATGTGGGGGATATTGAGACTGTAGGAGATGAGAGGGGGTAGTGATGGCACAGGCCTGCAATTCAGCACTGCCAGGACTGGAGAGATGGCTCAGAGGTTAAGAACACTGGCTGCTCTTCCAGAGGATCTGGGTTCAAGTCCCAGCACCCACATGGCAGCTCACAACTGTCTATAACTCCAGTTCCAAGGGGATTCAACACCCTCACACAGACACACATGCAGACAAAACACCAATGTACATAAAATACAAATAACTGAATAAAAAAAATAAAACTAAGTCCAAATTCTCCCCAACTCATGATGGGATGGGTAACTCATGATGGGATGGGCGTCAGCTCCGTCTATACACGCAGAGCCCCCAGCCACACTGGCCTCCCTTAGTCCCCCACCCCCTGCCTGGCGAGTCCCACCTCAGGGCCTGTGCTGTGCTGTTCCTGGACCCCAAGCCTTCCTACAGCCTGCTTCTGCTGGACATCCGAGCCTTTCCCTGAAGGTTCGATCTTGTCCAGTAGCCATAGCCACTTAGCAGCACCTTTTATTTCTATCCCAGTGCTCATTCCAATCAGGAATTGGAATTTCATCTTGCTGTCAAGGCTCTCTGAGGGCTCTCATGTTTGTACTTTCCTCTCTCTCTCTCTCTCTCTCTCTCTCTCTCTCTCTCTCTCTCTCTCTCTCTGGAGCTCCATGAGCTGGAGAGCTTGTCTACTTTGCCTGCTTCAGAGTCCTAACACCCAGTCCCAGGCCTGGCTCACAGCTGCGCTCAGCAGATCTGGGCGACTATTGAGAGAGCGCAGACACCAGGCAGAGATGAGTGGTGTGGGAGGAGGGGAGCAGTCTGTGATGGGAAGGGAGAAAGGGAAATTCATGGGCAGGGACTGCAAGGGGTCCTCAAAGTGGCCAGAGGTGGCCCTGGGTCTTGGAGCAGAACTCTGGGCTGTGGTACACCGTGGGGAGTCTGGGATTGGATTATTTCACAGGTTTACGGGTTCTGGTGCTGGAACCCAAGTTTTCTTGCATGTGTTAGGCAAGCACTCTACCAACGGGTTTGTCAAGAGGGGAGAGTTTGGTCAGGCTTGAAATGGGTTTGGCCTGTGTCATGAATAGGTTTCAAAGGGTTCCCCAGCCATCCAGGATTCCCTGAGGATCCCAATCACAAGGTGCCTCCCAACTATCCACCCAACCCCAGCCCAGAGCTGCAGGCTCCAGGCTTCCCCCATGGGTATTCTGGGGAGGAGGCAGGGGATCGGAGAACCTTGGAGGCTGCGTTGTGCTTGGCTGTCTCTGGTCTCCTGGGCCTGAGGCATAAGAGATGAACTCAGGTGCCTCCTGAGGAGTAGCACCAGAGAGAGTCTGGCAGAAGTGATCAGGATCCACCAAAGGACACGGAGGAGCAGGCAGAATGTCATCAAAGAGGTCAAGGGTTGAGGTGTCCAGCGCAGCCAGGCTCAGGGTGGGACCTTCGTTGTGGGGCACTTCCACAGGGGCCTCAGCACAGGCCACCCCCAGGAAGGGGGATGGAGGCGGTGGAGGTGGCCTTCGGGGTGGTGGTCTCCGGGGAGGTGCTTTTTGGGATAGGATGGACAGGGCCAGGTGTTGGGTGGCAGCTTCAATCTTGGCAAACTGCCTGGAGAGACAGAGACAGACAGACAGACAGACAGACAGATAGATAGAGAGGCTCAGCTTTGCCAGCAAAAGACCTCTTTTCTAATTATTCCCCGATTCACCCAGAGGTACATGTTCCTTCTTTTCAATCCCTCCCCCCCCCCCCGCCTTTCCTCTCCTTTCTGCTCATTTCTAGGCCCCTGGCTCATCTTCTTGAGCCTGGCAAGTCAATAAATCTTCCCAGGAAAGTTTTGATTGCCGTGGGGTTGTGCACCGCACATCTCGACAGTGAAGATTTATTATAACCCTCTTCCAATGTACAAAAAAGGAGATGATATCATGGATAAATAAGAATCTGGGGAAACAGATAGGCTGATGGATGTTTATTCAGGGAAAAATCACACCAGAAACAGATGACTGAGGGTAGGTTCCCATCCCAAGGATGCTTACAGATGCTCTCTGTCTCCCAGAGCAGAGTGCTGGGATCACGCCTGCGTCTGTCCCCACCCCAATGGGCAGGGTGGATATCTCACTACAAACTGTCTCTGGGGGGAGCCCCTCTGGATCAATAACTGCAAAGCCAGCCGTGGGCCAGCACGCGCGGCCGGCCGCGTTGATGAGTGTGCGTCCTACAGTTCTGCCCACTCCCTGGTGACTCTTGCCAGAAGCTGAAGCACTGATCCACCCCCCCCAATTTTATAAACAATCGGGGCTGGATTGTGCCCCCCAGATTCCTTCATCTCCAAGAATTAAATTGCATTATTTTAAAGAATACTTTTTAATATAAAATTTTATTTAAATTAGAAACAATCTTATTTTACATATCAATTCCAGTTCCCTCTCCCTCCCATTCTCAGATCTCCCCATCACCATCCACTCCCCAGGGAGGGTGAGGCCTTCCCAGAGGGATTATCAAAGTCTGACACATCATCAGGGGCAGCCCTCCCCCGTGTCTCTAGGCTGAGGGAGTATCCCTCCATGGGGAATGGGCTCCCAAATCCCATTCATGCACTTAGGGTAAATACTGGTTCAGAAGCCCTGGTTTGATCCTATACTGGTTCCCCAGTTGTCAGACTGGGGTCAGAGATAGTAACTCTTTTTTTTTTAAAACATTTCTTTTGGGTGTGTGTTCCTTCCACCCCCTTCCTGACCCTCTCTCCACACCGTACCACACATGAAGGTCAGAGGACAGCTTTCTATGGATTTCTGGTTTTATTTATTATTTATTTTAGTGTGTATGTATTTATGGGAGTGTGTCCGGTTGCCTGTAGAGGCCAGAGGAAGGTTATAAGTGGTTGTGAGCCACCCGGCATGAGTGCTGGGAACTGAACTCTGACCCTCTGGAAGAGCAGCAGGGTATTATAACCAACCACCGAGCCATCTTGTCCACCCTGTTCCCCATAACTGACTCAGTAAGTCAGGTTTGGCTGCAAGTGCCTTTACATGCTGAGCCATGGAGCCGGCCCACAGCGGTTAACGTGTACATACGCGTATTTCTGTGGGCGTGAGTGTGGGTCGAGTCGGGGAAACTGGAAAGGAACATGATAAGGAAGGGTGACAGAACACCCGTGACACAGGAGGAGGAAGGCCGTCGGTGGGAGGGTACAGGCAAGGGTGGGGCCGGGCGATGCGGACAGGAACAAGGCGACGGGATCAGCACAAACTGAGTGTGTGTAAAAAGCGGTACTTGAGGCTGGAGAGATGGCTCAGTGATTGGGAGCACAGGCTGCTGTGATGAGGACCTGGGTTCCATTCCCAGCAGGACCATCACATGAAGGCTTACGAGCATCTTTAACTCCAGTGCCAAGGGAGCTGATGCCCTCTTCCGGCCTCCGAGGGCATTACGTGGCATGTGGTTCACAGACACAACAACTAGGCAAACCGCTCATATAAGCCGGGCGGGGGTTGCGCACACCTTTAATCCCAGCACTCGGGAGGCAGAGGCAGGTGGATTTCTGTGAGTTCTACAAAGCTACACAGAGAAACCTTGCCTTGAAAAACCAGAATAACGAATAATAAAATAAATCTGTTTTAAAAATTAAGGAAACCAGTTACTTTGTTTACCAGTTTAATTCGTATACTAATTATTTAAATTAAGTTTTAAATGAGATTGGGAAAGCCACACCTGGGATAAAGAGTCTACACACGGGCCTGATTGATTGATTCGCTCTTCCTGACTGTGGAGGGTTAGAGTGTTGCAGACTCAGAGGCAAATCATTCCGGGCTTTAGTTCCCTTAATAGCCATTCACGGCAGGCGCAGCGTCACGTGCCCGTAGCCCCAGCACCGGAAGGATAGAGGCAGGATGATCAGGCATCTAGAGTCATCCTTGGCCACATACTTACTTGGGGACAGCCTGAGACATGTGAGATCCCACGTGAACAAAGGAAAAAAAAAATCCCAGAGACAGAAAAGAAAGGGAGGGAGGAAGGGAGAATATTAGGTAATAATCCAAAGTCAGCTGGGCACCGAGCTACACATATGTGATCTCAATTCTCTTGGAGGCTGAAGCAGGAGGATTGGTGGGTGTTTGAGATCAACCTGGCTCACATCAGGAGTACTGGGACATAGAAATACATTATCTCAAAATAACAGCAACAACAACAACACACACACACACACATAAATTCGAGGCATAATTACTCCTGTAGGGTTGGGAATATAGCTCAGTTAGCAGAGTGTTTGCCTGGCATGCACAAACCCCTGGGTCAGATCCCCGTCACTGGACACACTGGGTGTGGTGGTGCACACCTGCGTCCCAGCCCTTGACCGCAGAGGCAGGCGGGTCAGAAGTGTACTCAGTGTGACTGAGTACTAACTTGTTGGTAATTAATAGTCAAGTGCTTAGTAGAGCACGCGGCGGCCCGTTTAAGTGTCATACAATTGTAACAGCCATCACCACCATCATCTTCATTATGGCCACCGTTACTATCACTATGATAATCGTCACCATCACCAACATCACCACCATACCATCGCCATCATGGTTATCACCATCACCACCATCACAGTCACTGTCATTACAACTGTCACCGACATCACCTTTACTGTTATTACAATCATCACCCCATCACTACCGTTGCCTTCCTATCATCACCATCCCTCATTACACCCATCACCACCACCACCACCATCACCACCACCACCACCACCACCACCATCACCACCACCACCATCACCACCACCATCACCACCACCACCATCACCAACATAACCACCACCACCACCATCACCATCACCACCACCACCACCACCACCACCACCACCATCACCACCACCACCACCACCACCACCACCATCACCACCACCACCACCACCATCACCACCACCACCACCATCACCACCACCATCACCACCACCACTACCACCACCATAACTACCATCACCACCACCACCATCACCACCACCACCACCATCACCACCACCACCACCATCACCACCATCACCACCACCACCACCACCACCATCACCACCACCATCACCACCATCACCACCATCACCATCACCACCATCACACCACCACCACCACCATCACCACCACCACCATCACCACCACCATAACTACCATCACCACCACCACCACCACCACCATAACCACCATCACCACCACCACCATCATCACCACCATCACCACCACTACCATCACCACCACCACCATCACCACCACCACCACCATCATCACCATCACCACCATCACCAACATAACCACCACCACCACCATCACCACCACCACCACCATCACCACCACCACCACCACCACCATCACCACCACCACCATCACCACCACCATCACCACCATCACCACCATCACCACCACCACCACCACCATCACCACCACCACCACCACCACCACCATAACTACCATCACCACCACCACCACCATCACCACCACCATAACCACCATCACCACCACCACCACCATCACCACCACCATAACCACCATCACCACCACCACCACCATCACCACCACCATAACCACCATCACCACCATCACCACCATCACCATCACCACCACCACCACCACCACCACCATCACCACCATCACACCACCACCACCACCACCATCACCACCATCACCACCACCATCACCACCACCACCATCATCACCACCACCACTGTCTTCACCCTGGCTCTGCCTGCAGTTTAGATGCTGAGGGTGCCCTTCCCTCCCTCCCCTTCTCCAAGTCTTTTCTCAAACCCACTCTCAGTGCATCCTCCTTGGCCTTCTTTAAAACAGGCACACTCCCTCTCATCCCATTTCTCTCCCTCCATAACATTTGCCACCTTCTAATGTAGTCTAATGTAGCCGGCAGTGGTGGCGCACCCTTTTAATCCCAGCTCTAGGGAGCAGAAGCAGGTGGATCTCAGTGAGTTCTGAGGCCTCCTTGTAGCCATTTGGCATTTTGAAGCAAATACAAAAACAAACAAAGGTGAAAACCCTTGATAAATGGGAGCTTCATTAGCTTGTCTGCACACACCTTTATTGACAGCACTTTAATCCCACAGAGGCAAAGGCAGACAGATCTCTGTGAGTTCGAGGCCAGCCTGGTTTACAGAGCAAGTTTCAGGACAGCCAGGACTACACAGAGAAACCCTGTCTTGGAAAAAAAAAAAAATCAATTAGAACCGAGACCTTCTATACAACAAAGAACTATTTTGTTGTTGTTTCAGACAAGGTCTCACCATGTAGCGCTGGCTGTCCTGGAACTACTATGTAGATCAGGCTGCCCTTGGACTCAGATCTCCTCCTGCTTCTGCCTTCCTAGTGCTAAGATTAAAGGCAAACTATAGGGATATATTTGCCTGTATACCTGTAACTGTGGCCATGCCTTTTGGCCTCTGAAGTGTTGGGGTTACTGGCAGATGCCACCACACTTGACCAGTGTTCGCCATTTTGTACAACCAATACCTCTAGCTCTAGGCCATTTCATCCTTTCCAAGGGGACATCTTACCTGTTACCACTGCCTGTCTGCCGGTGAGTGCCTGGCCCCTTTGTGGGGCTTCTGTCTCCATGGGATCTGGCTGGATAGCTGAGACCCACTTTCTCCTGAATCTCCTGAATCTCTTTTCAAGGTACATCCACACGGTGGTGCCATCCCCTCTCGTTTATTTATTTTTTATTTCTTTATTTGTGAGGCAGAAACTTGTTACCTAACCTGGCTGGCCTCTTACATGGTACAGTGAACTGGCTGCAAACTCAGCAATCCTCCTGCCTCAGCCTCCTCAGGAGTGTTAGGATTACAGTCATGTGCCATAATGCCTGGCTCATATACGTATTTATTCAGGCCATTCCATACCGGCTGCCTCCCACAGGGACTCGGTGAAGGTTGAAGATTTCCTTGGCCTTGCTCAGTGTCGTGTTGAGTCTAGCGCACAGACGGTGCACGGTAGATACACACTAATTGGTGCTAAATCCAGCCTCCCCTCCAGCACCCCTACTCACCTGCAGATCTGGTTGTGTAGAAACCTCCGGTGATTGGGCCTGCGCTTGGGGGGCCTGGTACGCCTTGGCTGCAGGGCCCGCAGCATATGGGCCGAAGCCCCGCTCACAAAGGCGCACAGCTCTCGGGGCCCTGGCTCAGAGACCCCAGGGGCCGCAGGGAACCCAGGGTGCATGGCCAGTTGCTCTGCAGTCACAATGCAGATCAGAAATCACCCCCCAAACCGGAGATGGGATAGGAGCATATGGACTCAAGGTCTGGCATTGCAGAATGAGAAGCCACCCTGGCAATTAGGGTGAGCCTCTCGCTGTCCCTGTACCACTGCAGATGCTGGACGCCGATGACCCATGACTGCAGGTGATGGGTTTTATAGGAAGGCAAGGGGCAGGGAGGGGAGGGGGTGCTCTATGCATCTCCTTCGTGCCCAATTAACACATAGTTGGGCCTGGGATATAAAACAGGGGCGCGTGGGTGCTGAGGCAGAGGAAAGCTCCTGGAGATAGCCAATTAAGGGGACAAAAGCCTCTTTAGCAAGGCCAAGGCAGGTGCAGAGTCAACCGCAGCGATTAATGTCGAGGGCCTTTAGAAGGAGACTTGGGGAGGGGGGGGTTGCTGGTGGTTGGAAGAAGGGTACCGTCTCTGAGAGGGTGTCAGCACCTCCAGGCGTGAGTCAAGAACATCAGCCCACCACCTCCAGGCTCACCCCACCCCAGGGCCCCTGTTCCGGGGACAGAATCATGAAGGAGAAATCGAGGCCCTGAGTCTCTGGGCTGCAAGAGGAGGCAGCTGCTCAGGAGCTCTAGCTGTGAGTAGGGAAGCAGGTTCGAGTTCGGAAGAGTGGGAGAGGACTTGGGGGGAGGGGTCTCCTTGGGGGGGGAGATTTTGGTTGGTTTAAAGGTTTATTTTTGTGCGCGCACGTCTGAGTGAGGGTATGTGCATGTGAGCACAATTCTGGGTAGAGGGAGGTCATTGGATCCCTTGGAGATGGAGCTACAGGCGGCTGTGATCTTCCCTGTGTCGGTGCTGGGGACCCGGTGTTGTCTCCTGGGGTTGAGAAGCAGAATCAGCCTCTTATGACAGGTGTCTGTACTGGGGATAGTCAGGATCTCCACCTCTCTGGTGTCTCTAGTTATCTTAGGAGACTTCCTGAGCCGGGCGCACGCCTTTAATACCAGCACTTGGGAGGGAGAGGCAGGAAGCTCTCCGTGAGTTCGAGGCCAGCCTGGTCTACAGAGCGAGTTCCAGGACAGCTAGAGAGATACAGAAAGCCACTGCCTCACATTCTCTCTCTCTCTCTCTCTCTCTCTCTCTCTCTCTCTCTCTCTCTCACACACACACACACACACACACACACACACCATGGCTTCAGTCCTTCTCTGGGCGCCCCTCAGGTCCACACGCCTCTCCTCTCTAGTGTCTTGGATCCTGTCTCCCACCGTGTTGGTCTTTCTTGGCTCCTCTCTGCGTCTCTGGAGACTTTGCGTGTCCATTCAGTGTTTATTTATTTCATTTTTGGAGAGAGGGTCTTATGTAGTTCTTGGCTGGCCTTGAACTTTATATATGTCGAGTCTGAAAGAAACCCAGGGCAAGCTGGGCTGTGGTGGATCACGCCTTTAATCCCAGCGTTCGTGAGGCAGAGGCAGGCAGATCTCTGTGAGTTCAAGGCCAGCCCAGTCTGCAGAGTGAGCTCTAGGACAGCCTCCAAAGATACACAGAGAAACCCTGTCTTGGAAAAAACAATACAAAGAAAAAGAAAAAAGGAAGAAACCCAGGACAAGTCTCACTCGGTACCTGTGGCTCCTCCCAGTACTTCTCACCCCCCTTACCCTAACCCTGTCCCTCCCAGGGGCGGGGCTTCACTCCCCCCCCTTCTGATCCCTATATAACTTGGCCATTTTGTCACTCTCTTGGATCCCACCACATGCTCTACCCTCTGCTTCTCTGTGTTTCCTTCCCTTCTCTTCCTCTCTCTCTCTTTACCCATTCCTGTCATCTTACAGTCTAGAACCTTCCAGATGCCTCTAGCTGCTCTCTCATATGTACAGCATCTTCTCCCTCAGCCATACCTAGGAGTGGTCATGGCATCCTTTTTCATTCAATAGGTAGCTGAACTTTCTGGTCTTCCTGTCTCGACCGTCCCAGTGCTAGGATTACAAGAGTACATCACCACACTCTCCATTCTCTGAATGTTCCTCACTATTTATGTGTACTGTGGCTGCCTTTTTATGTTGATCAGGGTCAGTCCTCTGCACGCACGCATGCCTACGCGTACGTGAGTGTGTGTGTGTGTGTGTGTTACCGTCTAGTGATGTAGATACAGGTTCATTTTCTCTGCCGACTTAAATGTTACCGGATCTCTTGAGGTATCCTGGCAAAAACCGTCATGATACAGGAAGGGGAAATCAGGGTTCCCTCGGGGGTTCTTAGTTCCATTAATAAAAGAATTAAGACTCAGATGGAAGCTCAAGGACACGTATCAGAGTTTATAAAGGGAAACCCCAAGGTAGGCAAGTTATAAATCTTGACAGCTGCCTGTGGAGGAGCAGGGGGATGGAGAAGTGAAGTCAGCCACAGGACAGCAGTTAGCTACACAGCAGGGGTAAGAGAGCTTTAGAAAAAGACCAAGGAAGCCGAAAGCTACAGTTGGGGAGTTTAAGAGCATACCAGGCACTGGCCAGAATCTGATGGAAAAAGAAGAAAAAGGAAAAAAAAGTTACACTTTTCTGAGGAAAGGTACACAAACAGAGCTGAACCTCATGGTGGCTCCTGGGATTGCAGCAGTGGGCAAGAATTCTGGAGAGGAATAGTATTATCTTAAGGAGAACCTGCCTCCCTAGACCTTATGAAAGGAGACAATGGCTTGTTTCTGCCTCCAGATACAGTCCATTCGTCAAATCTTCGTGGGTGGGGGAAGGTTGGGATTCCTCAGTAAGGAGTTGCTGGAAGTGTATTTTCAGGTCTCTGGAGAGTAGAATGAAAGGCACAGACTCCAAGGGCCAGCCAGGGGTCACCACTGCTGTAGCCAGGACAGCACTCTTGCAGCCCAGCTCCAGAAGCTAACTTGGATTCCTCGCTCTTTGGAGCCAAGAGAAACATCCATCCCACTCCCAGGTTCTCAAGCCATGCCTAGCCTGAGCACACACAGAGTGCCGCTTAAGGATGCTCTCCACTAGGGGGCGCAGATGTACAAGCTGATGTTGGGAGGCCTGGCTCAAGGTTCCAGGCCCCCGTTACTCTTGTCAAATTTTGTATGAGAATCCCTCAGGCTGAGAAGACCATTTATTGAAATCCTGCACACTCATATGTACTGCTGAGAATTCACCAGGCCCTCTTTCTTTCGCTGTTCCAAGCCCTCATGTGAGCATTGCAGATGGGGTGAAAAGGTATCCTGGCAGCCAGGAGTCAAGGATTAACACAATAAGTGTAGCAGCTTACAGCCCTGCTCCAGGGAAAGATTTTTTCCAATGCAAGTGTAACAACTCTGCTCCCATGTTCTCAGCGAAAGTGTTACTTTGCTCTTCTCTTCTAAGGGAAGTGGAAACAGTGTTTCAGCTCTGCTCAGTCAATGAATGTGGAAACAGTGTTTCAGCTCTGCTCAGTAAATTAATGCAGAAACAGTGTTTCAGCTCTGCTCAATTAATGTGGAAACAGTGTTTCAGCTCTGCTCAGTCAATTAATGCAGAAACAGTGTTTCAGCTCTGCTCAATTAATGTGGAAACAGTGTTTCAGCTCTGCTCAGTCAATTAAAATGTGGAAACAGTGTTTCAGCTCTGCTCAATTAATGTGGAAACAGTGTTTCAGCTCTGCTCAGTCAATTAAAATGTGGAAACAGTGTTTCAGCTCTGCTCAGTCAATGAATGTGGAAACAGTGTTTCAGCTCTGGTCAGTCAATTAATGTAGAAACAGTGTTTCAGCTGTGCTCAGTCAATAAATGTGGAAACAGTGTTTCAGCTGTGCTCAGTCAATGTAGAAACTGTCTCAGCTCTGCTCAGTCAATGAATGTGGAAACAGTGTCTCAGCTCTGCTCAGTCAATGAATGGGGAAACAGTGTTTCAGCTGTGCTCAGTCAATGTAGAAACTGTCTCAGCTCTGCTCAGTCAATGAATGTGGAAACAGTGTTTCAGCTGTGCTCAGTCAATGTAGAAACTGTCTCAGCTCTGCTCAGTCAATGAATGTGGAAACAGTGTTTCAGCTCTGCTCAGTCAATAAATGTAGAAACACTGTTTCAGCTGTGCTCAGTCAATGAATGTGGAAACAGTGTTTTAGCTCTGCTCAGTCAATTAATGCAGAAACAGTGTTTCAGCTCTGCTCAGTGAATGTGGAAACAGTGTTTCAGCTCTGCTCAGTCAATGCAGAAACAGTGTTTCAGCTCTGCTCAATGAATGTGGAAACAGTGTTTCAGCTCTGCTCAGTCAATTAATGTAGAAACAGTGTTTCAGCTCTGCTCAGTCAATGAATATGTTCACTACTTCCCCAGTGAAAGTGTTACAGTTCTGCTCTACTCCACTCTGGCTAAAGTTGGTACAGCTGGACTCTGATCCAGAGAAAATGTCTCCTGGCACAACAAACCTCACTAAATAAATTTATTGGGAAGGAAGAATCCACAAGAGTGGCTGCCTTTGATAAGAAACAGCAGCAAACTGAACAGGGTACAGAGCTTATATAGGATTTCTTGGGGGTGGGGTGGGGACAGAACTTTCCAGGGTGGCTTGGGATTGGTTGATTTTTGTGGCCTGATTCTGGGGCAAGCTCAGGGTGTTGATTGCATTTTGAACTCAGGGACCTCAGGGGAGTGGTGGGATTCCACAGCCTGACTCTGGGGCAAGCTCAGGGATTGGTGGGATTTCAAGCCCTGGTCCTGGGGTCAAGTCAGGGTTAGGCTATTTTCCCTTGGCCCTTTTCACCCTCCACTCACAGTGGCATAGGGGAGGGAGTGAATTCAGGGATTCCACACTCACTGGAGATTTAATGTGAAGAGCCCCAGGATACAATGGCCGGCAAGACAAGCATAGCCAGTCCCTTTCTCTCAGGATCTGAGATTGAAGTGTCCATAGACAAGCAAATGAAAAAATGCTGGATCAGGAGGAACCCCGAGGGCCACCCTCAAATTAGGCAGTGTCAGGGAGATGGGGGGCAGGGATGCTGCTTCCATAAGGATGCCTTCCCTGAGGGTATGACCAATCTTCACTCCTGTTTCACAGGGCTAAGATCTCACCCAGCTTTGAGTACTCTTACAGTTTCACAAGGGAGAGTTGTATCTGTGGAATCCATGGTGTCCCTTGGTCTTCACAGCCAACGGGACCTCTGACTTGTAGCCCCAATCCTAAGGATGCCTTGACTGATGACATACAATTCAAGATGGTGCATCCTTCCTACATTAAGGTTTTTCAGAGAGCTGGAGAGATGGCTCAGTGGTTAAGAGCACACTGGCTGCTCTTCCAGAGGTCCTGAGTTCAATTCCTAGCAACCATATGGTGTCGCAGAACCATCTATAATGGGATCTAATGCCCTCTTCTGTCACGCAGGCATGCCCATGCAGCTAGAGAACTCATATAAATAAAATAAACAAATCCATTTAAAAAGCTTCCCTAGAGAAACAGGATCAATAAAATCAAGTATTTATCCTTCAAAGAATTGATCAATCAATAATTCTAGAAAGGCATGAACAGATAGATATTTCAACACAGTTATATGTCTCCAGGAAGAGATTATAAAGAAATAGTTTGCCAGGCGGTGGTGGTGGCAGCAGCGCACACCTTTAAGCCTAGCATTCGGGAGGTGGAGGCTGGGAGATCTCTGTGAGTTCAAGGTCAGCCTGATCTACAGAGCTAGTTCCAGGACAGCCAAGGCTGTTACACAGAGACACCCTGTCTCAAAAAAAAAAAAAAAAAAAAAAAAAAAAAAAAAAGTTAATGGGATCGTGCGTGAAATGGAAAGCCAGTGGTATTCAGAGCCACCCACCCATACCAACCACATAATGTGAGATCTTCCTTTCTAGTTTTAGTTACATACGGTCAACCTTGGTCTTTAAATATCACATGGAAAAGTTCAGAAATAACCATTCCTTTTCATCTGCATGCCATTCTGAGTGGTGTGTTGAAATCTTCATTCACTCCTCACTGTTACAAAACCAATTCCTGGTCTGGTGTATCCACACTGTGTATGCTACTCTCCCATTAATCGTTTAGTAACCATCTCAGTTATCAGGAGGGCGAGCACAGTACCATAGTGCTGGTGTTCCTGTAACCCTTGTTTCACTGGCTGAGAGTGGCACCAGGGTTAAAAAAAACAAAAAGGGCAAACTCGCGTGAAAGACTTTCCTCTGACTAAACAGGGCATCTGTCCTTTCAAGGACATCTTCAACACTGAGCCCTCTTATTATTTATTTTTAATTAAGGGTCATCCAGATAGCTTAGTGTGTAAAGAAAGGTGCTTGCCACTAAATGTAAAAGCCCGAGTTCAATCCCTGAGGTAATGAAAGGCAAGAACTGATTAATACAAGTGATTTTCTGACTGCCAAGCCTATCATGGTATATGTGTGTGCGCACATGATCTAAATAAATAAAATGAAATAATTACATTTATCTACTTTGTGTGTGTGTGTTTGCGTGTGTGTGTGTGCATGCATGTGTGTGACACAGCACGGCCACAGGTCAGAGGATAGCTTGTGGGAGTTGGTTCTCTCCTTCTACTGTATGGAGGTGACTTGAACTCAGTTATCAGACTACACGGCGAGGGTCGGTACCTGCCAGGTCGTCTCACCAGCCCTCTGCATGGGATTCTTTTAGCTAGGACTGCTAGCGTAGGGTTGGGGAGATGGCTTGGCAGTTAAGAGCAATTGCTGGTTTTCTGGAGGAGGATGAGGCTTCAGTTCCTTGTGACCACACAAGCCAGCTCACAACGGCCTCTCACTCTAGCTCCAGGGGATCTGATGCTCTTTGGCTTCCTCAGACACCAGGTAGGCATGTGGTGCATAAATGTAGACACTCACACCCACACAGAAAATAATAGATTAAAAAAACCCTCAAAAAAAAAAAAAAAAAAAAAAAAAACACCCAAATCTTAAAGAATCCATTCCCTTACCAGGGAATAAGAGTAATTTCTTAGCAACCCCTTGAGATGTAACCTAAGAGTCAACAAAATGGGCTTTGTTGCTAAGACAATTACTCTCTCCTAGGAGCCTGAACCTGCACTTAAGTGCATCTTATCCTCCACCCCCCTTGAGAAGCTCTTATCTACATCGGATGTGTCTTTCTTCTGACATTCATTCATTCTTCCTTTCTTTTCCAAGACAGTTTCTCTGTGTAGCCCTGGCTGTCCTGAAACTTGCTTTGTAAACCAGGCTGGCCTTGACCTCACAGAGACCCTGGCATGTGCCATCACCACCCAACTTAAACCTTGTGCTTAAATCTATATTAAAATATCTTTTAATAAAGTCACCGAATCCATTTCATATACTGGCTCTAGTTGTGAACGTTCTTACAGACTCCAAGGCATCCCTCCAGGTTGACCTAAGTCGAGGTCCCTGAAAGTCTAAGGCTCCAGCCATTACTCCACGTGTGGGCTGCGATGTGAGGAACTGTATTAAAGGGTACAGCATTAGGAAGGTCGAGGACCACTGGTCCGGGGAAAACTCCTCGCACCGCTGACAGTGGCAGTGTGCAGCTATGTTATCATGGCTTTCCCAGCAAGAGAGGAGGTGGGTTAGAGCCTGTTGAATCCATTGTGGCGGTGCACCCCTGTAATCAATCCCAGCATCTGGGAGAGAGGCAGGAGGATTAGGAAATGGAGTTGGGGTGGTGCCGATCGTGTGTGTGTGTGTGTGTGTGTGTGCGTGAGTGAGTGTGTGCCGCAGTCCCAGAGTGTTTGGTTTGTCGTATTGGCTTTGAATTGGTGTGCTTCTGGAGCCTCTCAGGGAACTGGGGCTGTCATCAGATGTGTGTGTGTGTGTGTGCGCGCGCGCGCGTGCACAGGTGACTAGTGGCCCCAGACTGAAGCTCGGCTGAGCACACCACAACGCGCAGGAAGCTCCCACGAGAACCAACCAACCGAAGCCCCAACTCATCTCAAGAGAGCATGCAGGAGCGCGCTTGCAACCCCAGCTCTGGGCAGCTGGAGGCATGAGGACTATGAATTCAGGTCTAGCCTGGGCTGCACCCTGCGCACCCTACACGAGCCCGCGGCCTCAAAAAAAAAAAAAAAAAAAACCGACAAAAGCAATCGGTCGCACTGTCGCCCCTGCCCTGGCTGAGAAAGCCATCGTGACCCACACCCCAGATGCCAGCAGGCGGGAGGAATTAAAAAACAAACAAAAAAAAAATTAAAGAAAGCAGGCCCGTGCCGGGTGGCGGCGCCTCAGACGCCCCGCGGGGCGCAGGCCGTGCGGGGAGGCCGCGTGCCTCAGTTTCCCGCGGCAGGGAGCGGGGACGCAGCCCCAGCCGGGCCGGGGAGCCCCGGGGAAGGCCGGCGGGGGCACCTGGCGCGCCCCGGCGGTGGGCGTGGCCGGGCGGGGCGTGGCCGGGCGGGGCGCGGCGCGTGGCGTCATGACGCACGGCGCCGGCGGCGGCGGGGTTTGTGTGCGCGAGCGGCCGCCGATAAAGGTTGAGTGCCGCGCGCCGGGGGCCGTGGGGAGGGAGCGCGCCCCCGCCCCCGCCCCGCCCGGGCCCGCGGCTCCCGCAGCGCCGTGCCGGGCCCCGCTTCCCGTCGGCCCCCGCGGGGAGGGCCTGGGCCTCTCCCTGACGCCCCCTCCCTGGCCGGGGCCGCAGGTGAGACACCGGAGGGCGGCGGCGGGGTGGGGGGGAGGAGGGCGGAGTCGTTTGGGAAACGGCGAGCAGCGGGGAACCGGAAGGGGCGTCTTAAAGGGAAGGTCGCCGCTTCGCCTCCGAGTTTGAATCTGTTAGGCCGGCCCCGCCCTCTTAAAGGGGAAGCGCGCTGTGTTCAGCTGTGCAAATTTATTATTATTATTATTTTTGGTGAAAGCTCTTCCTGGCTTTCATTATTTAGTTGTGTATTTATTTGCCTCCCCTTGCTTTTAAGAGAGGGTTATTTCCTTAAGAGCGGGTGACAGTTTCCCAGACTGTCATTTCATAGCCCTGCTGGTCTCTAGACTATCTGAACTAAGGTAGAGACCGGTGTTTAACCTTTTTTGTTTTTCCCCTCCCAAACTCTCATGTAGCTCAGGATGCCCTCAGACTTACTGTGTGGCCGAGGATGACCTTGGATTTACGATCCTCCTGCCTCCCTCCACCTTAGATGTGCTGGGATTACAGGCCTGTGCCACCACGCCTGGTTTTCCCGCAGTGCTGGGAATAGACTCCAGAGCTCCATGCGTGCCAGGCCAGTCATTAACTTACCACCCAGCTACAGCCCAAGCCCCAAGACCAATCAAAGCCCAGCCTTTTAAAGGGGACTCTCACTGCGAACTTGGGTCTCTGTACCTTTGGGCTCCTTAAAAGGTGTGGCCTGACCTCCCAAAGCAGCATGCAGTTTTTTAAGCTCATTTGGTCGATTATAAGGCAAAAGAGACGCACATAGTCGTTAAAAACAATTCTTCTATAGCCTGTCAAAATCAGTGCACAAGAACCGGGGAGGGGGCGTGGGGGACTCCCTGTTTACGTGGTGTGAACGTTAGCCAGAATAAAACAGGCAGCCAGAGGGCTAAATGTGGATGGGACTCTTCTTGGGGTAGCACTGTAGCAGGGACTTGAGGATTTACTACGGACGGGGCCAAGCTGGCGCTGTTTTTGGCGACAGTGGTGCCCGTCGGGTTGACAGGTCAGGAACCCTGCCAAACCCCCAACAATGTGTGAGCCAGCCCCTCTGACAAAGAATGACCCGTCCTCAAATCTCTCTGTTGCTGAGGTTGAGAAATCCCGGTTGGGTAGCGCTTAAAAGATGATGAGAGAGCGTGGAGAACAAACTGAGGTATTGGGAGAGAACAGGGCATGCCAAAGAAGAGGTTTAGGTAGGGTGGTGTGAGGAGGTGTGTCTCTGGCGATTTCAGTGCAGGCCATGGTGAATTGTGGATGGTGGGAGAGAGGCGCACCCATGTGGGGAGGGGGTTAGCTCTCCCTGCCTGGTGGATAGGCTCCAGGGACAGGAGGCCGGCCAGAGGGGAGGCCACCAGTCATGCTGCTCCTGTAAAGGCTGGCCTCAGCCTCCTGTGTGGTCAGCCTCCTGTGTGCAGTGCAGGGGTGCAGAGGTAGGGTTTTGTGTGTGTGTTGGTAGCTTCTCCCATCACTTGAGTGACATCTTCAGCCCTGCTTTTAAATATTTGATGGGGGGGGAGCATAGAAGGAAGGAAACTATCCTGCAGGTAGATTTTGGTTAAGTGTGAGCTGTCTTAGGCACAGTGCATCAAGCATGTGAACTAAAGGAGAGTCTTGTTTCTTGGAGTCTTTGTTTATAGTTTGTGGAGTCCTAAGAGGGAGTGAGGTCTTCCAGAGAGAGGGGCAGAGAGAAAGTCAGCAATTCCGGACTGCGGTCTAACTCGCCCTCCGGCTATAGAAAGATCCTGCCCAAAGGCTGAGGTGGTGATAGGAAGGAGCATCAGCCATCTGAAGCTAGGGGATAGGCCCAAAGGGAGGGCTCAGCCGCAGGGGGATGGGGTGCTTGGGGACTACAGGTGACTGGAGCAGATCCAGAGGGAAGAGCAGGTGAAGGGCTGGAGGGAACAGAAGCGAGGGGTCTTGTTTCTTTGCGTTTGCTGCTGGGAATGGTCAAACTGGAGGATGCCCCAGGAGGTCAGAGGCCATGGCTCAGGGAATCTGTGTGTGTGTGATCCTACAGTTCCTCAGTCTTGTGTTGCTACTGTTTTAGACTGGATCTTTGTGGGGGTTCATCCTGTGCACTGTAGGATGTTGAAAAGCACCTCTGTCTCCTGCACTTGACAAGCAACAGTGAGCGCCTCCAGACATCACAAGATGTCCCCTGAGTGTGAAGACAGTTGGCCCATTTGGGAACCACTGGTTCGGTGATGGGAACGTGAGGACATTCTGTCCTGCTAGCTTTTTTTTTCCCCCTCCAGTCACTGCAGGGCATGCTAGGTGGCAAAGTCACCTGCTAGGAACAGGGGAGCAAGAGAATGCTAAGGGGTTACCACAGAGGGAGTGTAGGGACCAGAGAAAGTGCTGTGTGAACAGGAAGTGTTCAGGATTTGTGTGCACCAGTGTGTGCAGAGTGAGATGGGCAGGCTGTGTCCAGGGTGTGCCAGGGAGGCCAGGTAATGTTGGTAATGATGGCATGATGGCAGGCGCTAATGTTAGTAATGATGGCAGGAGGTTGTAGAGCCTGTAGGAACAGGAAGCCTTCACTGTGATTTGGGGGACCCAAGAGGGAGTGGGGGGCAGTGGGTGGTGGGATGGGATGTTTGAGGCTCCGATCACAACTGTTTAGGGTGTGGTGGTGGTGGAGGGCAAGCATTGAGATGGAGAAGGGGCAGGGTTAGTCTTCAAACCATAGCAGGAAGGCACTGACGTCAGAGGGGCCAGTGTCTTCCCGAAGGCAGTACTCCATCTTGGACCTCTTTGCTTCCCAGAGGAGCTGGCAGGCATCCCGGGTACCCAGTTATTTCTCTCAGTCTGTGATAATGTGTTAAACCTAGGCTGTTGTGAGGAAGAACCTACGCGTGGGTGGGTGGCTTGGCACAGGGAGGTTGCCATGTCCCTTGAAGAGCCAGTGTGAGTGGTGGTAAGTCCGGGCTAGTGCACTGATCAGACTCCTCCTACCAGGTGTGATGGCCGGCTCCCACGTGGACATGGCGCCAGCTGCCACCACCGAGGGAACTGGGGAGAAGCCAGGCCCCACGGCCCCGGCACCCACCCCTGCTGCCCAGTATGAGTGCGGAGAGTGTGGCAAGTCGTTCCGGTGGTCATCTCGGCTCCTGCACCATCAGCGCACGCACACGGGCGAGCGGCCCTATAAATGCCCGGACTGCCCCAAAGCCTTCAAGGGTTCCTCAGCCCTCCTGTACCACCAGCGGGGCCACACGGGCGAGCGGCCCTATCAGTGCCCTGACTGCCCCAAAGCCTTTAAGCGCTCCTCCCTGCTGCAGATCCACCGCAGTGTGCACACGGGCCTGCGGGCCTTCACCTGCGGCCAGTGTGGCCTGGCCTTCAAGTGGTCGTCCCACTACCAGTACCACCTGCGACAGCATACGGGTGAGCGGCCCTACCCGTGCCCCGACTGCCCCAAGGCTTTCAAGAACTCGTCCAGCCTGCGGCGCCACCGGCACGTGCACACCGGGGAACGCCCTTACACCTGTGGCATTTGCGGCAAGAGCTTCACACAGAGTACCAATCTGCGGCAGCACCAGCGGGTGCACACCGGCGAGCGCCCATTTCGCTGCCCGCTCTGCCCCAAGACCTTCACACACTCTTCCAACCTGCTGCTGCACCACCGCACCCACGGCCCCGCCCCCGGCTCCACCCCTACCCCTGCGGGCGAGGCCAGCAGAGCCAGCACCAAGGTCCTGGTCTCTGACGCCTACCTGCAGCCGGGCAGTCCACCTGCACCCCACACCCCGCCCCCTCCGCCACCGCCCGTAGTGCCCGAGCTCTTTCTGGCCGCCGCCGAGACCACGGTGGAGCTGGTGTTCCGCTGCGATGGCTGCGAGCAGGGCTTCAGCAGCGAGGAGTTGCTCTTGGAGCACCAGCCCTGCCCAGGTCCCGCCGTGGCTGCCCAGCCCCAGGACGTGCCTGCTGAGCTGCCCCAGGCCGACCCCCCTGTGCCACAGCCCCCGCCTGCCCCCGCGGGCACGCCTAACTTCGCTTGCCTTCCTTGCGGGAAGTCCTTCCGCACCGTGGCTGGCCTGTCCCGCCACCAGCACAGCCACGGCGCGGTCAGCGGGCAGGCCTTTCGCTGCGGCAGCTGCGATGGCGCCTTCCCACAGCTGGCCAGCCTGCTGGCTCACCAGCAGTGCCACGTGGAGGAGGCGGCAGCAGGACGCCCACCCCCTCCGGCTGAGGCCGCCGAGGTCACCTGTCCCCAGGAGCCTCTGGCCCCAGCCACTCCTGCTCCACCCCCGCCCCCACCCGCCCCCGTCTCCGCAGAGCGGCCGTACAAATGTGCTGAGTGTGGCAAGGCCTTCAAGGGTTCTTCCGGGCTGCGCTACCACTTGCGGGACCACACGGGCGAGCGGCCCTACCAGTGCGGGGAGTGCGGCAAAGCCTTCAAGCGCTCCTCCCTGCTGGCCATCCACCAGCGAGTGCACACGGGCCTGCGGGCCTTCACCTGCGGCCAGTGTGGCCTCACCTTCAAGTGGTCGTCCCACTACCAGTACCACCTGCGACTGCACTCGGGCGAGCGGCCCTATGCCTGCGGCGAGTGTGGCAAGGCCTTCCGGAACACATCGTGCCTCCGGCGCCACCGGCACGTGCACACTGGCGAGCGGCCCCACTCCTGCAGCGTGTGCGGCAAGAGCTTCGCACAGACCTCCAACCTGCGGCAGCACCAGCGCGTGCACACGGGCGAGCGACCTTTCCGCTGCCCGCTCTGCCCCAAGACCTTCACGCACTCCTCCAACCTGCTGCTGCACCAGCGCACCCATTCTGCCGAGCGCCCTTTCGCCTGTCCCATTTGTGGCCGAGGCTTTGTCATGGCCGCCTATCTGCAGCGGCATCTGAGGACGCACACCCCAGCCACAGCAACTTCGGGCCCCGCCGGCCCTGCCGCCCCACAGCCCCCAGCCCCATTGGCTGCAGCTCCGGCTGCACTGGCGGCCCAAGATGTTCACGTTCTCCCTCACCTGCAAGCCACACTTTCACTTGAAGTAGCTGGGACCGCAGCTCAGGCTACGCCCACGGCCCCAGCTGTCCCCAACTCCCAGACGTTTCTCCTGGTGCAGACTGCCCAGGGCCTGCAACTGATCCCTAGCAGTGTCCATCCCCCTACCCCTCCACCCCCGCCCCCACCCCCCAAGCTCATCCTGCTGCCTCCCGCCAGTGCTGGGAGTATGGGCAATGGTGCTGCTAGGCAGGGCCCTCGGGCCGTGGGGAAAGCTGCACAGGGGACAGGGGTAGTGTGGCTTCCAGGTCCAAGTGGTCTGGGGATGCAGGGAGGGGGCAATGCGGGGGCGAGTGGGGGAGGGCAGAGCCTCATTGTTCTGCAGAATGTAGGGAGTGGGGAGACAGGGCCACAGGAAGTGAGTGGGGTTCAGCTTCAGCCAGCACAGGAAGTGGCCACGGTCCAACTGCAGCCCGCACAGGAAGTGACCACGGTTCAGCTCCAACCAGCGCAGGAAGTGACTACCGTCCAGCTCCAGCCCCTGACAGGCCAAGTCTCCAGTCCTAATGGAGGAGCTGTGGCTACAGACACTCCAAACCTGCTGGTGGTCCAGAGCGGGGCTGCTGACGAGTTACTGCCTGGACCTGGGGAGGTGGGGGACACTGAGGCCAGTGCCAGTGTGGTCCAGGATGTACTGTTTGAAACCCTGCAGACAGATGAGGGGCTGCAGAGTGTGCTGGTGCTGAGCGGAGCTGATGGCGAGCAGACCAGGCTGTGTGTGCAGGAGGTGGAAACCCTTTCCCCCGGACTGACAGAGCCAGCTGCCACTGGCCCACCAGGACAGAAGCTCCTCATTATTCGCAGCGCTCCAGCTACTGATCTGCTGGAGAATAGCGGTGCGGCAGGAGCCGGGGCTGCAACCCTGCAGCTCCTGGCCCCGCCAGCACCTGGCCCGCCGTCCACCCCTGTGGGGGTGCCTGTAGCTCCCGCCTCCCAGATGGTACAAGTGGTCCCTGCAGTGGCTGGCCCGGGGGTCATGGCCCCCCAGAGCTTGCCCTCCATCCAGATTGTGCAGACTCTGCCTGCAGTCCAGTTGGTACACACATTTTGAAGAGACCCACTAGACAACCCTCCCCCCACACCCCACAACTAACTGTACTCCTCAGCTGGGCTGGGGTCGGTCCCAGAGTCAAGGGGGCTGCTGGCTGGGCTTGCTAATAAAGACAGAGTCTCTTCGTGGTTTTGTTTTCATGGGGAGAGGATAGTCATGGGCAGAGAGAAACCAGAGTTGGAAGTCTTCACCCTTGCCCCCCAGCTCTGAGATCACTGGGTTTCTACTGGAGCTGAGTGATTCTCCAGGGTGCGGCCCAGTCCCCCGTCCTTTACATTTTTAATTAAGAGATTTAGTGTGTGTGTCGGGGGTATGCCTGTGGAGGTCACAGACTTTGCAGGAGTCTGCCTGCCACGTGGATTTTCATTTGGCAAGCTCTCTTACTCCCTGAACTAATTCTCCGGCCGTTCCTTTGCCATCTTTTAAAGGTGCGTGTGTGTGTGTGTGTGTGTGTGTGTGTGTGTGTGTGTGTGTAAGTAACTGCGCAGGCGCTTGCCACTGTAGTCCTTTAGTAGGGAGGGGTCAAATTCCGGGTTCTTCATTTTCCTGTAAGTCAGCCTCACCTTTACCTCACCTGAAAGGTAGGTAGAGGGAAATTATTGATCCAGACGATACCCGAGGTGCCAGCGGGTTGAGATAGAGGCCCCTGTGGATGGGATCGCTCAGTACTGCCCCCACTCCTTACCGCAGAGACTCATGCGCCAATGAGACTAGGTTCTCAAGCAAAGCCTCCTCCTCCTCCTGATACTCAGGTCGCTTAGCAACGAAGGGAAGGACCGGCAAGAAAGGAGCTGTGCTAACCCCTGCACAGGCAGGCCGGGTAAGCAACCCGCTCGGTCCCCCACCCCTCCCCTTTCCCCATGGTTCTCCCACCGGTCCCCGGCAGGTCACAGCTCTCCCCTCGCCCTCGCAGTTCCCTCTTTATTCCCAACCCCTGCCCCATGATGAGGGAAGCTTGGCAACAGTTGCTAAGGCGCCGGCTCCGCCTCCAGTCGGGAGTGTGGACGTCACTTCCGCCGGTGACCCCTTCCTGACCCTGCTACCCCTTGCTGTCAAGGGATTCGAGCAACCCCGTGGAGGTGCTTGCAGGGCCCTGCACCTGCCACGCGTGCAGGAGACAGGCTCCTGGAGTGTGTGGGGGAGGAACGGGTTTACAGGCAGGGCGCCGAATGCCTTCCCCGGAGTGGGGGGAGACTTTGAGCCCCACCGGGTATGGGTTGGGGCGCCTGATCTGCCACGGTGGCAGCTCTCTATGGTTGTGCCCCAGCGCGCTTGGTGATCTGGGAAATGCTGCGTCCCATCCCTGCCAGGTCTCTGAGGACTCAGGTGCCCACCTAACACGGACCTACTTGTTTTCAGCAGGTGTACGACGCCAGCTCCCTTCTGGGGGGCGGCGGCCTGGGGGTTACCATGGCCCCCAACCACCTGTCAGTGCGGGAGATGAGGGAAGATGAGAAGCCCCTGTTGCTGGAGATGCTGAAGGTGAGAGGCGGGCAGGGGCACCAGTGAGCATGCGCAGCTACCGAGGGACAGCCAAAGTGGGTTCCACCTGCCCCGCCCACCTGCCTGCCCTCCCGGGGACCTCCAAAGGGGGATATCTTCGCCTAGGCTGTTTGAAATTGGTCCCTTTTCTCTAGTTTCTTCTCCCTACTTACACCTCAGCTGCTGTTTTTTTTAAAAAAAAAAAAGCATCTGGAAGGATGTGGGGGCTGGATGTTCAGGCCTCCTGACCGCCAGTCGGTCCCACTTACCAGCCCCAAAACGAGAGGTGCCCTCATCCCCCAGGTCCTCCTGCCAAGAGCCCACAGCCTCATCCTGTTAAGTCTTTTCTGGTGCTTTACCTTAGCGTACCCTCCAGACTCTTGTCTGAGGCCCCAATTCATTCATTGACCCATACATCCAAACCTCACTCATTCACTCAGCCCTTTGCACCCAGGGGGGCAGACGGGAGCCACCCATCAGCTGGCTTCTCTTCCCACCTGGGAAGCCTTCCTTGGGAGCCCCAATGAGGTGAATGGCTGAGCCCCTACCCCCATCCACAGGCCGGTGTAAAAGACACGGAAAACCGTGTGGCCCTCCACGTCCTGACGCGTCCACCAGCCCTTCTCCTCCTGGCTGCAGCCAGCAGCGGCTTGCGCTTCGTCCTGGCCTCCTTCGCCCTGGCCCTCCTGCTGCCCGTGTTTCTGGCTGTGGCCGCTGTGAAGCTGGGCCTGCGAGCCCGGTGGGGCTCTTTGCCTCCACCAGGCGGCCTGGGTGGGCCCTGGGTGGCTGTCCGGGGCTCCGGTGATGTGTGTGGAGTTCTGGCTCTGGCCCCTGGTGCCAACGTGGGAGACGGAGCCCGAGTCACCCGCCTCTCTGTCTCTCGATGGCACCGTCGCAGGGGCGTGGGAAGGAGACTGCTGGCCTTTGCTGAGTCCCGAGCTCGAGCATGGGCTGGGAGTATGGGGGAGCCTCGGGCCCGGCTTGTGGTCCCAGTGGCTGTGGCTGCTTGGGGGGTGGCAGGGTTATTGGAGGCCTGTGGCTACCAGGCAGAGGGAGGCTGGGGCTGCATGGGCTATATGCTGGTTAAGGAATTCAGCAAAGATCTGTGATTATAGACAATGCCCACTGGGGAGATGCCGGGGACCAGCACCTAACGCGCACCTACTGTGTGCCAGGCACTTTACATCCCCTCCCTCCGTGTCTGCCCAGTGTGCTGGGCAGACAGTGAGGCCCTGAGGTTGAGGGACTCACATGCCCACAGTGAACCTGCCAGCTGCAGCGGGGACTCTTCTTGGTCCTCTGGGACCACTAGAGGTCACCCTGTCCACTCCTTGCCCGATAGCCTGTATGCACTGAAGAAACAAAATCAAAAAACTGATTCTGGCTCAGCAAAGCCCCCACTGTGTGTGTTTTAGGTCTGTCTGGAAGGGACATTTGGGGAGCGTGAATTAGAGTCTGGGACAGGGAACCCCAAGGGGACAGATCTGGGAGCATAGTCTCCAAGCCCATGTGTTTTTTTTTTTTTTACAGTTTGTTAATAAAGCCTGAGACTTCTGTGTGCCTGTCTCCTTTCTGATGCGTTTTCCAGCTGCTCCCTCCAGACCCCCTCCTTCTGTCTGGCTCCTCCTCTCCAAAGTTGACATTAATTGCTAGGGAAGGAGCGCTGCACTGTGCTTGGAGGAAGAAGGCAGTGAGCTCACAGGGGCAACCCAGTCCCTGCCAGGCCTTCTGAGTCATGTTCCCCATTACCACATTATTCCCTGTCACAGCTGCCTGCCGTGTGAGTGTGTGTGTGTGTGTGTGTGTGTGTGTGTGTGTGTGAACACCCCGTCCACACAGAAGCCTTGATCCCTCTCTCTACCCTTCATGCCTTTGTTCTGGGAACTGCTAAGTTCAGACACCTTCCTCAGACAGGGACGAGGAACTTCCCATCCAGATTTAACAGAGTGGGTGTCAAGTGGAGAGAGGATTATTTTTTCCCCCTTCCTTTCAGTTTCTTAATCTAGGAAGTCCCTCCTAGTGTCTGGCTGCAGGCCTTCTTGCTACTGCAAGATCCCCCCCAAATCTGTCCACTCCCAGCTGCATTCCCCTGGCGGGATAACAAGAGGAGGCAGGAGGGTGTGCCCTCAGCCTTGTCCCCCCCCCAGACACCCAGGCCTGTCCCTTCTCAGAGCTGCCATCCCCATAAGCATCTCTGAGCACGTGGCCCTCTGGAGGGAGCCTGGCTGGCTGCCTCCCTCCAGTGTGGGTGTTTGTACTTGAACACCTCCCTTCTGCCTGCCCACCGCCATCCCCCTCCAGCCTCAGCTGCGGCCAGCCCCCTCCCCCTCCAGTCCCCTGCTGCCTCCTTGCAGCCTCTCTCCCTCCTGGCAAAGCCTACAGCCCAGCCTGCTCCTAGCTGTCCAGGACGCCTCAGCAGCCGCTACTACCCTCCCTCCTTCCCTCCCTGGCTGCCTCCCCCCCTCCCCTGCCCTCCTTTCCCCTCCACCCCCATCCCCTGCCCTGAACTCTGCGAATATGAGGGTCTTGGCCTGCTTCCTTGGTGAGTGACCCATTCCCTGGACGGGTCTGTGTGTGTGTGTGGGGTACCTTAGGGGGCTGGACTTTCACCTCTGACCCTTTAGCCTGTCCAATTTAGGGACTCAGGCTTCAGGGAGCCAGTTCTGGGATATCCTAACATCTGGCTGGCCCCTCTAATCCCTCAGGGACACAGCCTTTTGCATGTCCTGCCTAGCAACCCAAGTGACCTGCCCTTTGTTGCCCTGGCATTCACACTGCGGGGGTGGGGGGTGGGGGTGTATCACTTCCACCATTCAGTCTGGTCCCCAGTCCTGTCATCCAGGGTCAGGGTCCTGGGGCCCCACCCACCCCAGGGACCTGTAACTTATCCCAGCCTCCACCCAAAGTCCATCTCAGCAGTGGGGCTTCTGACTCAGAGGTGCGAGGAGGGATCTGTATGTGAGTGAGAGCTTCTCACGGAACTTAAGCTGGGAGGGAGCTTGCACTGGGGAAATGACCCCTCCCCTTCTGCTCACCCTCCACTCTGTTGCCTCCAACCCCCTTTGCAGCAATACTGGTGGGCAACCAGGCTATTGGTAAGTGTCCTGACTCTCTACTTGGCCTCACCCAGCTCCAAGCCCCCTGCCACTCCAAGCTTCCTGTCACTCTCCTGCCGGCCCTGATTCCACTCTGACCTTCCACACAGCCCCTAGTATCTCTAAGACATTCCTGTCATTGTACCCATGAGTCTGGTCCAGGGCCCTGTCTCCAGGGTAGCTGACTTCCCGATGATGCCTTGTAAGACAGCTCCCCGACCTTACCCTCACCCCAGCCCCCAGGCTGCAGCGTTCCTGTCTGGGGTCACAGTTTCTGCTTCACCCCCCCCCCCCAGAGCGACTACGGCTGGCTGATGGCCCTCACGGCTGCGCAGGACGCCTGGAGGTCTGGTACAGCGGGCGCTGGGGCACGGTGTGTGATGACGGATGGGACCTTCGGGATGCTGCGGTGGCCTGCCGTGTGTTGGGCTGCGGAGGGGCGCTGGCTGCCCCTGGGGGTGCCTTCTTCGGGGAGGGCACCGGGCCCGTGTGGCTCAGTGAGCTGGCCTGCCGGGGCAATGAGGGACAGCTGGGTATCTGTCCCCACCGGGGCTGGAAAGCCCATATCTGCTCTCACGAGGAGGACGCCGGCGTGGTCTGTGTAGGTAAAGAGACTCAAACTCCTTGTGTGGTGGTGGTCCCAGGAACTCCCAAGTCCTTAGTGCTTGCAGAAGTCCAGGGGTTCCCTAATTCCCTATCCCCGTAAGGCCAGGCGCCCACCTTCCCCCAGCTTGCATTCACTTATTTCTGCGCCTCAGGGAATTCAAGATTCTAGGTCATCCTTCTGTTCCAGGGATCAAGTGGCCGGCCTCTCTACTTCTTACTCCATCCACATCCTCACAACTCTGGTCCTCTCCCATAGGTCAGCGTGCAGCTAACTCTAGAGAAGATTCGACGTCCCTGCTGGATGGGGACCCGTGGCCGCTACTCTCGGGGGAACTGAGTCCCAGCTCAGAGGAGCCCCCTGTGACTTACAGTAAGCACAAAGGACTAGGCCGTCCATCCTGCACCCACCCTGTCTGTTCCAGCTATGGGGGAAGGTCATCTTACAGCAGATGTTTTCCTGCGAGCTAATGTCCTTCATTACCCAGGAATCCTCCAGCACTTCATTCAGACCCTCAGCAAGAGATCCCTAGACAGATGCTAAGGAGTCAGGATAGCTCAGATCCTGACTTCCTGGTCACGTGTCACTTTCCCAGCTCCTCAGCCAGCAGTGAGCTCCCAGAATGGTCCCCGCAAGAAGAACCCCCGGCCACCCAAGCAGGCCAAGTCTACCCGCGCTCCTGTACTGACAAATGGAGCTCCCCGCCAGGGTAAGTCTCCTCCAAATCGCTCTTGTCTCCCTACCATAAAACCATAGACCCAGTCAAACTGAGGATCCCGGACCTCGGTTCTGCCTGTGGCCCTCCAAGGAGACTAGCTAGTGCTCACAGTGCCCTCCCTCAGGATTCAGTCAGGGCTGGACACGCCCTCTAACTGATCTGATCCTTCCGCCATGAGACCCAGAGGTCCAGCCAATGGCAGCTCTCTTTCTGAATGAGCCAGTCTGCAGACAAACCTCGGTCCACTGCCCTTTCTGGGCCTCAGTTTCCCCAGGTGGAGAAACGAGAAGCTGACATTGGCCACAGACAATCTCCCTTATTCTCGGTCTGTTTCCCTCCCTAGAGCGGCTGCGCCTTGTCTCAGGTCCCCACGGATGTGCTGGCCGCCTGGAAGTCTGGCACGGTGGACGCTGGGGAACCGTGTGTGATGATGGATGGGACCTCCGAGATGCAGCCGTGGCCTGTCGGGAGCTGGGATGTGGGGGAGCGCTGGCCGCCCCTGGGGGTGCCAGATTCGGACCTGGTACAGGACCGGTGTGGATGGACGATGTGGGGTGTGGAGGAGGAGAGCAGGCCCTCCGGGACTGTCCCCGAAGCCCCTGGGGCCGGAGCAACTGTGACCACACCGAGGATGCAGGACTGGTCTGCACTGGTATGCTGGGGGTGGGGTGGGGCTAACTACCCCCTCCCCCTTCAGTTCGCAGACCCCAGCTCTTCCCTCCCCCAGGAAGCGGTAAAAGGCCTCAAATCTGTCTCTGCACACATTCTCTGGAGAATTGGGAGAGGCAGGATCGAAGCTCGGGTTTAACATGCTGCCCCTCAGCTTTCGAGGGAGCAGTGAGGATAGAATCTGGGACAAGGGGCTGAAGGCGTTGGAAGGACACTTGGGGGCCCTCCTCCATTCACTCGCCTCTTCCACCGCCCTTCCTTTCTTCCCCACATTCTTATTCCCCATTGGCACAGCTCAGGACCTAGTCACCCATCCTGATTCCTCACTGGTCCAACTCTAGGATGCTCACTCACCCATGCTAGACTGCCACAGCGTTAACACAGTCCTTGCAAATACATTCTAGTTTCTCCTCTCGGGATAACTCAGCAGCTCCTCATCCATCCTAACTTTTTGTCACTCTGTTGTCCCCTGTTCTCCTAAATCCAGGTCCCGCACCCAGGCTGCGCCTCACTGATGGTCCTCACGGCTGTGCTGGTCGCCTGGAGGTTTGGCATGGCGGACGCTGGGGGTCGGTGTGTGATGACGCTTGGGATCTCCGTGATGCCGCTGTGGCCTGCAGGGAGCTGGGCTGCGGGGGTGCCCTGGCCGCCCCAGGGGGCGCCTTCTTTGGGGAGGGGGCTGGACCCATCATCCTGGATGATCTCAGGTGTCGGGGGAATGAGACAGCCTTGCGATTCTGCCCTTCGAGGCCCTGGGGCCAGCATGACTGTCACCATCGGGAGGATGCTGGAGCCGTGTGTGATGGTAAGGGTCTATGAGTGGCATCCGTGGGGAAGCATGGGGCAGTGGGTGTGTGATCACCTGGAGTGGGTGAGAAAGAAGACTTGTCCCTGCTCATGCGTCACTTCCTGTGTGTGATGGATTTCCCTCTCTCCTATCTTATATTCTTTTTCTTTTTCTAAAGATTTATTTATTATGTATACAGTGTTCTGTCTGTCTGTATCCCTTCGGATCAGAAGAAAGCACCAGATTTTATTTCAGATGGTTGTGAGCCATCATGTGGTTGCTGGGAACTGAACTCAGGACCTCTGGAAGAGCAGCCAGTGCTCTTAACCTCTGAGCCACCCCCCCATCTTATATTCTTATGTGAAACCTTGGTCTAAGTTAACTAGGGGTGACTTGGTCTCCCCAGTTCCTTGTTCCTAGTCCAAGCCAATCTTGCCTGCTTAGGAATGCCTCTTTCTCGTGTCTAAACTCCTTCCATTTCATCGTCTCTCTATCTGCTATCCCAATCCACTTCTTGCTGTGGGTCAGGGGTGTGGAAGCCTTGGGCCTCGTCTGTGTAGACGGCAGCCCAGCAGCCCCCAGAGATGATGCGAATGTCTTCTTCCTTCTAGGCATGCCTCTCGGCGATGTGCAGCCCACAGCCCCTGCATCGGGCAGCAACACCTCAGCACCCAGGCTTGTGTCTACCTCAGTGGGCCAGACCCCAGCCCCTGCAGGCAGTTGGCCACCTCCTGCTTCTCCCAGTACCCATCCAGAGCCTGGGCCCGAAGCCGGTGAGTCCCTTTCTGCCCTGACTGTGAGATTGTCCCATGGAACCTGCTCACAGAAAGAAAGGTGGCCTGTGCCTCTGCTTAGGAGGACAGATACTTGCTTTAATGTTCTGCCCATACCCTACAACCCAGGGCTGTGTTTGCACAAGGGTTCTACCTTCTGTAGCCAGCTCTGAGCAAGATGTCCTCTAGCTTGTTCCGAAAAACAGTGCAGCTTAAGAATTATTTTTTACATGACAAGAATTAGGGAGATGGTTAAGTGGGTAAATCAACCCAAGGACCCAAGTTCAGGTCCCCAGAACCCAAGGAAAAAGCTGGGTGTGGCCGTGCACACCTATAGTTCCAGGGCTGGAAGAGCCAGGAGGGCCCCTGGGGGCGGCTGCCCAGTCAGTGGAACCAAATCAATGAACCCCAGGTTCAATGAGAGACCCTACCTCAAAAAAGAACTTGGAGAATGATATCCAAGCCTGGCTTCCGCATGAATGCACACATGCTTGCTCCTCATGGACACACACATGCATACAGCCACAGAAACACACAACTCTTACACATTTTCCTCTGATGGCCACATGCATGTGGTGGCATTTGCATACCCTCCAGTGTGTGTATGCATGCGTGTACATGCATGCACGCACACACACATACACACACACATACCACACACACACAAGTAAGTAAATAAATGAGTGTAATATTTTAAAAACTCTAAAAAAGTAAAATAATTCCCTTGGTTCAAGGGGCCTGGTGGTATAATCCTGCAATTCCAGCACTTGGAAAGTGGAGGCAGGAGGATTATGCGTTTGAGGCCAGCGTGGGCTGCACTGTGCATTGCAAAGATCAATACCATCTTCTGTTCAGCTGTCCGTACGCTGAGGAAAACCTTTGAGTTTTTGTGAACAGTATGGACATTTATATTGTGTGTTGACATACCCCTTCAGTTTTTTTTTTTTTTAAATCATGTATGTGTTTGCACATGTGTACCGAATTCTTTCTCTGCCAGAGAATTCTTTCTCTGCCATGTGGGGTCCCAGAGATCAAACTCTCTGGTTGTCAGACTTGGTGTCGGGTACCTTTCACACTGAGCAGTTTTGCTAGTCCCCTTTCAATATTCCTAACAGTGGAATTTCCGTATCATATGGTAATTCTATATTTAGCTTTTTGAGGAGCCATCCAGCCAGGCCTGGTCTGTGGTTAGTGCAGAAGAGCTCTGGTCAACACCTGCTGTTTGGATGGAAGGATTAATGAGGAAAAGCCCATAGTGGATAGATGGACGTTTGGAAAGGAAGGCAGAAAGCCAGGCAGATGAAGGGTCAGCGTGCCGGATGGGCTCTCCGACCCTAACACTCGGCTCCTCCCCCTCTATTCCAGGGTCCCCCCAGTTGCGCCTGGTGGCTGGACCCAGCAGGTGCTCTGGGCGGCTCGAGGTATGGCATGATGGACGCTGGGGGACAGTTTGTGATGACGGCTGGGACATGAGAGACTCGGCTGTGGTGTGCCGGGAGCTGGGCTGTGGGGGGCCTCGGCGAGCAGACCCTGAGGCAGGCCGCTTCGGCTGGGGCGCAGGCCCCATCTGGCTGGATGATGTAGGGTGTGTGGGGACGGAGGCTTCGCTCTCAGAATGCCCTGCTGCTCCGTGGGGGAAGCACAATTGTGCCCACAATGAGGATGTCGGGGTTACGTGCACTGGTGAGGACACACTGGCCATCTTCTGGCTCTAGAAGGGCTTCCTAGAGGAAGGGATGGAGACTAAGGGTGGCGTTGATTTGACCCAGTACTTACTAAGCCCAAATCCTGTAGTGGGTAACTTTTCTCATATAACTTATTCAAATTCCCTGAGTCTGGCTAAAGTAAGAGGTAGTTAAAATCAATATTGGCAGTAGTGCATTTCCTCCATTTAAAAAAAAAGTAATTTATTTGTATTTTATATACATTGGTATTTTGTCTACATGTATGTCTGTGTGAGGGTGTCAGATCTCCTGGAACTGGAGTTACAAACAGTTGTGAGCTGCCTTGTGGGTGCTGGGAATCGAACCCAGGTCCTCTGGAAGAGCAGCCCAAGCTCTTAACCACTGAGCCATCTCTCCAGCATTTTCCCTGCATTTTAAGGAGTCTGGTCTCCAACTCCAGTGCTAGGCACTGAGTTAGGAGCTGGGTGCTCAGAATGGAATGCGCATAGAATGGGTCTTTGAGAAGCTCATGACTCACTGAGGGAGAGGAGAACACAGGAAAGCTGTTGCAAACCAGTGTGACCCTGCAGAGCTCCGGGAGGTCGGAGACCACACTGAGGTTCAGTCCATCGATAAAAGGATTCTCAGAAGTGAGAGAGCCGTTAACTCAGGGTCAGGGTCGTGCTTCACCACGGTGAAGATGCAGGTTAAGTGCAGCTAACAGGAAAGGTACATGGAGGGGAATTCAGGTATGAGTTCCCAGTGGGGTGAGGTCGGCAGTGCTGAATGCGCCCAGCAACGTGTGTGACAACATGCAAGAATGACCAACTGGACATGTTGTCTCAGCTTGACATCAGCTTTTTCCGCAGGGACTTGACCACATACATAGAAGTGGCTGCACATGTACACGGATGTTCAGAAGTCACATTGCCAGTGTAGATTAACATGGCACATGTCCCCCAAACACACAAAGAATTTCTTAATTGCTTTATTTTATTTTGCTTTTTCGAGACAGGGTTTCTCTGTGTGGCTTTGGAGCCCATCCTGGAACTAGCTTTGTAGACCAGGCTGGCCTCAAAGTCACAGAGATCCACCTGCCTCTGCCTCCTGACTGCTGGGATTGAAAGTGTGAACCACCATCCCCAGCTGGTATTTTTTAAAAAAGATTATTTATTTTTATGTGCATTGTGTTTTGCCTGCATGTATGTCTATGTGAGGGTGTCAGGTTCCCTGGAACTGGAGTTACACACAGCTGTGAGCTGCCATGTGGGTGCTGGGAGTTGAGCTCAGAACTTCTGGAAGAGCAGCCAGTGTTCTGAACCCCAGTCATCTTCCTGGAGGCGGGGGTGGAGGGGGAAAAGTTACCCTAGCTTGTGTGGGCATGGCTCGTCCTAGACATGCGGCCAAACAGAAAGAAAGAGCTTAGATAATGGTGACTCCAAGGACAGAGTCATCAGCTCTGCCGGCCCCTCTTCCAGGAGACCCACAGAAGGATTGGAAACAGGCAGGGGCGTGGCTTAGTAGACTTCATGCCACTCTTGAGGCCGATGAATTTGAAGGAAGGGATAGTAGGGTATGCCTGTAATCCAGCATTTAGAAGGCTAAGGCAAGATAGTTCTTATGAGTTTAAGGCTGAAAAGCTGGGCCGTGGTGGTGCACACCTTTAATCCCATCCCAGCACTTTGCAGGCAGAGGCCCTCAGGCCAGAAGAGGGCATCAGATTCTCTGGGACTGGAGTTATAGACAGTTGTGAGCCAGGACATGGGTGATGAGACTCAAACCCAGATCTCTGGAAGAGCAGTCAGTGCTCTTAACCACTGAGCCATCATGGGGATGTTAGTGGTTCACGCTAGACTTATGAGAGTCCACCATCACGGTTTCTGCATTTTCTCTTTCCTCCCTCCCGGCCTCCTAGGGACCCCTGGCCTGGATACCATCTCAGACCCCTTCAGTTGGAGCTGGCTCCCTGGGCTGGGTAGAGATCAGGATGCCTGGCTTCCAGGAGAGCTGGCCACCAAATCCTCCCCCAGTGTTACCTCCAGTGTGCTAGAGAAAACCACAAGGTCTCCAGGGAAAGCACCCAAGAGTACTAAGAAGTGGGTGCCTAAAAATGCAAAAAGACCAACCTCTCAACCCCCTGGGATAGCAACCACTAAACGCTCCAGGGTCCCAGGCACCCCAAGCATCCTAAACCTAACCCCACGTACCTCTGAGTTACCTAAAAGATTGACCACGGAGGCCCTCCGAAGACAGACATCACACACCACTGCAAAGCCGACTCCTAGGGTCCCCTGGGAGTGGACCTCAGAGACTGCAGCATCACTGTCCACTCACTATCCCCGAGACATGACCTCGGAGGCCACCATCACACAGATCCCTCAGGCCTCCTTACAGCCAACTGGTGAGAGCCCAGAAGCTTCTCTGGAGTCATCCCACGATCCAGCCCCCTCCCCATCTGCTGGAGCACCAATGCCATCAGGTGAGTAGTAGAGGGAACAGCAGCGAAAGGGATCGTAACCGGCAGGGCATCGATGCAGTCCCCTTACCTCCTAACCCGAGGGCCTCCCCCCCAACCAGGTCCTTTCCGGGTTCGTCTGGCTGATGGGCCCAACAGGTGTGCTGGCCGGCTAGAGGTGTGGCATGCTGGACAGTGGGGGACAGTCTGTGATGACAGCTGGGACCTTCGGGATGCCACAGTGGCCTGCTGGGAGCTGGGCTGTGGAAAGGTCCGGCCCCGAGTAGGCAAAACCCACTACGGCCCAGGGACCGGGCCCATCTGGTTGGATGACGTGGGCTGTAGGGGCAATGAGGCCTCACTGAGTGACTGCCCCTCGGGGACATGGGGGAAGCACAATTGTGACCACGAGGAAGACGTGGTGCTCTCCTGCACTGGTACCGGGGGACTGGGAGGGAGGTTGAGGGGGTGGAGTCAGTGGGGCAGGGTGGCTCAGTGTGGGGCGTCATCTAAGGAACTGGCCACAGGGGGTTCAGGGTGAGGACTTGTAAGGGTCGCTGCAGGGAACTCTGGAAGGGAAGTAAGTGGCAAGGACCTCAGACGGGGGAAGGGACACATGCTACCTCGTCTCTCCCCAGGCTACACAGACGATGACGATTATCCCTCCTGGACCTGGGACCCCACTTGGGGAGAGGACCTGACCAAAGGCACCACTGTGACCGCACGGCCCGGACATGCGATTTCCTGGGCCACCACTAGAAACCCGCAAGTCCCCTCTTCAGGAACACAGAGGCTTCCAGACACAGGTGAGGGGCATGGCCGGGAACTTGTGTGGGTGTGCAATGCGTCTGGCAAGCTCGCCCTCCTCCACAGGGGCCCCAGGGATCAAACCAGGTTGCTAGGTTTGGCAGCAAGCACTTTCATTCTTCGGGCCCTGTGGTTACTACCTTCCACTGGAATCCCGCCCTTTGTCTCTCTCCTCGCGTCTCACAGCCCTCATTACAGTGAGTGAAGCGACAGACACTATTTCTGCCTTTCCGTCCACTGTTTGCTCCCTCAGTCTCCTCGCTCATTGCATGCTCTCCACTTCTGAGTGTTAGCGATCACTGCCCCTGTCCGTGTATCTCTCTGCCCGTCGCTGCTGGGAGGAACATCCTGTATCCTTTCTGGAGCCCCGCAAGCAGAGTCAGGCCTGGCTGGGCGGGTACCTGCTCCTCTGCCCCGTGCCTCATTACATCACAGAGTGCTACGCATTCTGATTGGCCACCAGGATCCAGCCCTGGCACCTGTAGTCTAGCAAGGGAGCAGGCTCAGGGATTTGCGACTTGGACCCGGCAGTATCGCGTGCTGGGATTAGGGTTGATCACTGGGATGCTGGGACCGGAAATGATTTCTTAGAGACCTTGTTCCTCCATCGGGTGTGTCTGAAGGTCCAGAACCTTTGTTCTGTGCTGTAAGGGCGGTTTTCCTGTCCCTCAGCGCCCCCTCGTGGTGGAACCCGCCGCCGTAGAGGCAGCTAGTCTCTGAGACGGGGGGTGGGGGGGGGGATCCTCTCCAGGGGGAAATAAATACGGGATTACAAATGGTGCAAAGGGACTCTCCATGTAGTAAGGCTTAGGAGAAGGTGTGGGGTGTATGTGTATGGCCAGGATGGGACTCTGTTTCAAACAGTTTACATGTCTCTCTTACGTATGTGTGTGAGTGTATGTCCTTGCAATGTATGGACAGTTTATGTGGAGGCCAGAGGACAACTTCTGGTGCCATTCCGCAGGTACTGTCTAAATCTCGTGTTTGTGAGTCAGGTCTGTCGGTGGTCTGAAGCTCGCTCACAAGTCTAGGCTGGTGGTTGGTAAGCTTCCTGTCTCCCTAGTACTGGGATTAGGAGAGGAGCGAGCACACCAAGCTTTATATCTTCTTTAAACGTGTGCTCTGGGGCCCCTTCCTTGTGTTTTCAAAGCAAACGCTTTACACTCTGAGATATCTCCCAACGCTGCTTTGCTTGCTTTTGAAACCATCGTATTCCATAGCCCAGGCTGCCTTGGGAGTCCAGTACATCGTCCAGGCATTGAACTCTCAGTGGTAGGGATTGCAGGCAGGCACCACGTTGGATTCAGGTAATGTGTGCTGCCACTCAGAGTACAAGTCTGGGTTCTGACTCACTCGGTGGACTCCAGCCTAGACCCCACGGGGACTGGAGGGAGCTGTGTGACTACATGTCCCGTTCCGATGTGTAGAATGCCCGTGAACCCACCTAGAATGGAAAGTGTTGTCGGTAGAGAGCTGTACAACAGCCCAGCGGTGCAGGATCCCAAAGTTGGAATGACTGGTTATAGTAGAGAAGTCAAGAAAAACCTCTTAGGAATGTGATATCACTCACCTGCAGGGGAGACTGTATGTGCCTTGGCACATGTGTGGACGTCAGAGGACAACTTGCATGAGTTGGTTTTCTATTTCCTTCGTATGGGTTCTGGGGATACAACTCAGGTCGTCAGGTATACAGCAATCACGTTACCCCCTGAGTCACCTCCTCCCTGAGGGGATTCTCAGAGGCCCAAAGGCTTTGGGAGAAACCCTGCATAGTCACAGGGCTAGGGATTTTTTTTTTTTTTTAAGATTTACTTTATGTCTGAATGTTGGTGGCACATGCCTTTGATCCCAGCACTTGTGAGGCAGAGGCAGGTGGATCTCTGAATTTGAGGCCAGCCTGGTCTACAGAGTGAGTTCCAGGACAGGCAAAGCTACACAGAAAAACTTTGACTTGAAATAACCAAAAAGAAGAAGAGGAGGAGGAGGAGAAATATTTGCTTTATGGCAGGATGGTAGTGACACACCCAGTTAATCCTAGCACTCCAGAGGCAGAGGCAGGTGGATCTCTGTGAGCTAACCTGGTCTCCATATAAAGTTCCAGAATAACCAGAAATACATAGAGACCCTGTCTCCAAAAAACAAATTGGTTTATTTGTGCATGCATGAATGCACACACACACACACACACACACACACACACACACCAGCAAGGCCAGGAGAGGACATCACATCTGAAGCTGGAGTTACAGCAGTTGTGAACTGCCTGAATTATGTGCTGGGAACCCAACTTGGGTTCTCTGCAAGAGCGATAGGATAGATGCTCTCCTAGCCCAACAAGGGTCGGCTTTAAGCTCAAGAAGCGCCTCCGTTGATGTCTCTGGTCATTATGACATCTACAAATCTAGTGGCTTAAAAACCCAAGCTCAGTCTCGTCATCTTCTGTAGGTCAGGATGCATGGGTCTCGCTGAGCCAAGGTCAGGGTGCTGGCAGGGCTGGTCCCGATGGGACGTCACCCTCTTCACTTCCCCAGCACAGCGCCTCCCTTTTCCAAAGCCAGCAACGATGACTTCCTCCGGCCTTATTTTTTTCTTGTTCATTTCAGCCTGGAAAGGTTTCTGTACTCCAAAGATTTATAAACTTGGGGAATTTGGGTTTTCTTTTTATTGCTTATCCATCCATTTATTTTTATGTATATTATTTGTGTTTGTGCGTGCGTGCGTGTGTGTGTGTGTGTGTGTGTGTGTGTGTGTTGCATCTGGCTTAAAAGGAAAAAGAAAGAAATTGTGTGGGACAGCATGGTAGTTCAGTTATTATGAGGGTTTGTACACATGGTCAGGGGCCTCGGGGAATGGAAGTAATGTATTATTTCCTATATAAGATAATTCATTTCATTAGTTTCTGCTTTTAGTAACCAAGAGCCTCCTGACTGGTGGCCAAGGTGACACAGGTTGTTGAGGAGGCTGAGTGATGGGCTAGCCCCTGCTGTGGTCATTTGCCAGGTGTGTGTGTGTGTGTGTGTGTGTGTGTGTGAAGGTAGCAGGAAAGACTCAGCTCTCTTTTTCACATCTGCAGATGACCAGGGTAGTTATGAGCGCTCCCGGACATGGGATTCACCTGCTCAAAGGGGTGTTCCCAGAGGGACCCCCAGCACAACCAAACCGCGACCCACTGTCACCAGTGGCACCGGCAAGAGTCCAGGCCACCCCTTTCCAGCTCCGAGAGCCCGTGAAGACACAGGTGAGGCATGTGCAGAGCTGTGGGGCGCAGAGATGGGCTCCAAGTCCCCAGGGGCCATCCGCCTCTCATCTCAGAAAGGCCCAACAGAGGGGGATAGCCTGCAACCAGGAGCCGTTAGCTAGGGTAGAGACGAATTGCCTGAGGGGATTAGAACAAGCAGCAGACACAGCTGCACACATTTGGGGTCACCACGACGAGGGGCAAGGCATCTACCCGATGACGCCTAACAACTTCTCTTCCTCCCTCTCTCTCTCTCTCTCTCTCTCTCTCTCTCTCTCTCTCTCTCTTTCCTTTGTCAGTTTTTGAGACAGGGATTCTCTGGGTAACAGTCCTGGCTGTTCTTGTTCTCACTTTGTAGACCAGACTGGCCTCAAACTCACAGAGGTCCACCTGCCTGTGCCTCCCAAGTGCCCTAACTTTCCTTCCTTCCTTCCTTCCTTCCTTCCTTCCTTCCTTCCTTTTTTCCTTCCTTCCTTCCTTCCTTTATTTCTCTCTCTTTCTCCTCCTCCTCCCCCCTCCTTGTTATTGGGAGCAAGGACCTGGGGATCTAAGTCAAATTGCCTGGCTTTGTGCTAGGCACTTTTGTCTCTTGAGTCTGCCAACTCCAGCATCCAACATTTCTCTTCATGGTTCTAACACCAAGCCCAGGGCTCTGTGCCTACTGGATAAGTGCTCTACGGTTCGCTGCATCCCTAATACTCCATGGTGCTTAATGGGCAGATGCCAGGGATGGTGCTAAACACCACAGCGCTTCAACTATTCCCGCAGCAAAGTCAGCAGTCCAGAAATGTCAGCAGATCTAGATTGTGCTACTCACTGTAGCAAGTCAGAAAATGGTAGAAAAGGATTCCTCCAGAATTTCCTCCTACTTGTATCCGTGTACCTTCCCCTCAGAGACCACCAGGTGGCGGCGGGAACCTCACGGGGGAGAGGAAGAGGGCACTAGGGCCTGGTGAAGTCTGCTGGTGACCCATGATGTCACGAAGACCTTTGCCTTCCCATTGGTCAGCTCCTCAGGGGGCGTTGCGGTGCACGGTGGGCAGGGCAAACTGACCTCAGACGGATCTGCTCCCGGTTTCCTTCTCCTCCAGGTTCCCCAAGGAAGCCAAAACCCGAGCACCGGCTGCTGCGGCCCACGTCAGCCAGGACAGCATCCACCACCTCATCCCCAGCTCCCTCCACCTCGCCAGGGCCTTCTGGCTCAAGGCCACAGTTCATCCCTTACAGGGTCTCAGAGCAGGGGAGGACCACAGGCCCTCCCAAAACATCTCCACCCACCCCGGGACAACCTCTGACAACCTCTGATGCCAGTTCTCTTCCCAAAGGGATCCCCGAGCCCTCTCGCAGCCCAGCATCCACCTCCTCCCCTAAAGGGCTGAGCTCTGGCTCCTCTGCGCTATCAGGAGGGACCAGCCTTTCCCCTACCTCAGAGCTGACCCCAGGACCCGACACAACCCCAGATTTGGGCACAACTCCCAAAATAGTGCCAGAGAGTTCTGGTTCCTCGGACCTCCCCATGAGCCCCAGGACCCCCACACAGCCATTCACAGCCCCTCACTCCACCACCACCCCTGAGCTCACCATCACCCCGGAGCCCACTACCACCCCTGAGCCTACCACCATCACCCTGGAGCCCACCACCACCCCAGAACCCACCACCACTCCTGAGCCCACCACCACCCCTGAGCTCACCACCACCCCGGAACCCAACACCACCCCTGAACCTACCACCACCACCCCTGAGCCCACCACCACCTTGGAGCCCACCACCACCCCAGAACCCAACACCACCCCTGAACCTACCACCACCACCCTGGAGCCCACCACCACCCTGGAGCTTACCATCACCCCTGAGCCCATCACTACCACCCCAGAGTCCACCAGTACGCGGGAGCCCACCATCACCACCCCTGAGCCCATCACCATCCCTCAACTCACCACAACTTCTCATCCTTCCATAACCCCTCAACACACCACAAACCGTCCATTTCCCAGGACCCCTCACCCCACTACAATGCCTCAACCTCCCACCAACCTGACTGATGTTCCCTCCATCCCCGCCATCCCTACAAAGTCCTTTCCATCTTCCCTGGAGACAGACTTTCCCTCACTCACTCCAGAGCCAAAGGTCAAGCCTAGCCTGCACCCGGAGCTGACCTTTGTGAGAGACCCTCCCACAAACACATCCCACATGCAGAGCCTAGAGCCCTCTCCAGCCTCTGAGTCTGACCCCTCCAGGCCCTCTCCAGCCCCAAGCATGGACCCACTGTCCACGGAGGCCTTCAGACCACCCAAAATCCAGAGTTCCAGGTCAACCTCTCCGTCTATCCCCGACCTTCACCTCTCCTCTATGGCCCCCCCATTGGACCATCTTACTCAGGGGCCACCCCCCAATCACAACCCAGGTCCCCTTGGGCCATGTATGTCCCCCATACCCCCGGTAAGGGTCATGGCTTGTGAGCCACCTGCCTTGGTGGAGCTGGTGGCAGCTGTGAGGAAGGTGGGTGACCAGCTGCAGAGGCTGACTCAGGTCCTGGAACGAGACCGGCAGGAACGCCAAGTCCTGGGGCTGGGCCTGGTCCAGTTGGTAGAGGCTGCCCAGGGCCTGGGGCAGCTGAGTGAGACTGTTAAGAGACTAGCAGAAGCGGCCTGGCCCCCCAGCACACCTGCGCCCACCATCACCACCACGGAGGAGGAGAGGCCTCTGAGGGGAGATGTGTGACCCACTCTGAAGTCCGGGTGCTAAAGATGCTCTCAAGCAAACAAAAAACCAAAGTATCTACCAACAAAGTGAGGGTGTTGTTACTGGGGGAAGGAGGGGGACCCTGGAGGGACGGAATCACAAAGTTGACCCTGACTTGTTGATGCCACACGTGCTGCAGTAGCGGCGATGGTGGCGATGCTGAACACCGTGATGGTGATGATGGGTGATGGTGATGACGGGTGATGGTGATGACGGGTGATGGTGATGATGGGTGATGGTGATGACAGGTGATGGTGATGACGGGTGATGGTGATGACGGGTGATGGTGATGGGTGATGGTGATGACGGGTAATGGCTATGATGGGTGATGGTGATGATGGGTGATGGTGACAGGTGATGGTGATGACGGGTAATGGCTATGATGGGTGATGGTGATGACGGATGATGGCAATGATGGGTGATGGTGATGGTGATGATGGGTGATGGTGATGATGGGTGATGGTGATGACAGGTGGGTGATGGGTATGGCTATGATGGGTGATGGTGTGACGGAGTGGATGATGGGTGATGGTGAGGGTGCTTGGTGGTTGTTGTTTTTGCGGTGTTGTGGGGGGGGGCTTATAATGGTGGTCATGGTGATTGGCGATGGTGTCGATAAAAGAGGTGACGGGGACGGTGGTGATGGGATGCTGATGAAGGTGATGATGTGGTGTTAGTGACAATGAGTATGTTGACCAAGACGGAGTGTTGGTATTGATGGGATAGTGATGAAGGTGGTGACTGGGTGTCAGTGGTGGTGATGGTGTTAATGGTGATGGTGAAGGCGATGGGAGTGGCGGTGGTAACAGTGACGATCGTGTTGACGTTACTGGTGGCGGTGATGGTGAGCATAACGGTGACTAGCAATAATGAAGGTGGTGACAATGCCAGGGAGTGGTGGGTGATGGTGAGTGATGACAGCAATTAATAGTGGAGGCGTGACAATGACACTGACATGCTAGCAATGCTGGTGATAGCGCTGCTCGTGCTTACCGTGATCGTGACGGACCCTGACAGGGATGGGTCTGTGCCAGCAGGAAGCTGCTTCAGCCGTGCTGTGCCCAGCTTTATGAACAGAGCACATGCAGGGACATGGCAGCACACGCCTTTAACCCCGGCACTCGGGAGGCAGAGGCAGGTGGATCTCTGTGAGTTCGAGGCCAGCCTGGTCTACAGAGTGGGTTCCAGGACAGCCGGGGCTACACAGAGGAACCCTGTCTCGAAAAACAAGAAGAAAAAACAAAACCGGGCACATGGTCCGTAAACCTGAATGGGTGGTGTAGCATCATCGTCACAGGGACTAACACTTCCGGGGTACGCCTGTGTCAGCCTTCGTTTGCAGTGGTTCTCAACCTTCCTAACCCTGTGACCCTTGAATACGGTTCCTCATGCCGTGGTGACCCCAATCATAACATTGTTTTGATCTCTACTCCATAACTGTGATTTTGCTACTGTTATGAACCACCATGTAAACATCTGATACACAGGGTGGTCTTAGGCAACCCTGTGAAAGGCAACTCGACACACAGGTTGAGAGGACGCGCAGGTTGACTGAGAACCGCTGGTTTGGAGGCCGGCTGTTACTCCATCTCCATTACCACTGGCTGGGGAGGGTTCTATTACCAGAGCTTAGCAGATGAGGAGATACACTCAGCGTGGACACCAGGGAGGAGCCCTTGCTAGGGGGGTATTCCTGAGCCAGCTGCCAAGCCTCCTAGTCTAGGTTCCCCACCTATAAAAGGGGATAATAATAGAGTATGCCTCATGGCCATGCGGAGACGGCTGGATGGTAACATTGTGTTTGACCGCTGGATGGTAACATTGTGTTTCTGAGGGAGCCTAGGCTCTCAGCGCAGAGATGAGTGGCTTGTTCCTTATCCCCATCTTGTGCTTGGCAACCCAAGCCTGTCTACTCCAGACCCTTCTGAGAGAAGGTCTCATGCATGTAGCCCAATGTAACCTTTCATTTAGTATGCTGTGGATGCCTTTGAGCTCCCGACCCTCTAACCTGCACCTCCGGGTGCCGGGATTACAGATGTACTGTATCACACCTGCTTCTAGGCACCATGGTGATTTGAACCTAGGGCTTCATGCATGCTGGACAAGCATTCTGCCAACTGAACTTCATTCCCAGCTTGGGGGCCTTGCTCTTCACATAGTATTACCTGGCCACTGGACTTGAGTCTGGGTCCATATATCTCCGGGACTTTTAATTCCTTTCTCACAGCCTCAGTGTTCTCCGCGGATGGGAATATTAACCACATCAAGGGGTTAATATTACCTATGAGTAAGTTCCTGTATGGACAGAGATGGTATGAGACATATGCCCACTTACCAAGAATGAGCCCAGGGCTAGGAGATGGCTCATTTGGGAAGACACTTGTTATGTAAGCCTGGATGATCGGGGTTTGATTTCCTGGACCTCAAATAATGGAAGCAGAGAGCCAATTACCATAAATTGTCCTCTGACTTCCATATATGTCCCCCTCTGCTTTGACTTTGTCCCGGGTTCCAGATGAGGACGTTCACGACTTCCTCTGTCTTAGTGACCCAAGCAGGTCCCTTCCTAGCCTTACTGGTCTGTAAGCCCAGGGCTAGCTTGGAAGACACCACCCAACCCAGCCCCACCCCCAGCACTCCTGTTTCTGACCCCTGTGGCCTTGGCCAGGAAACTGGTCCCTCCTCCTCTTCCCAGATCACAGCTCAGAGGTCACAGAAGGTGATGGAGCCTGGCGCCCCTGCAGTCCTGCAAAGGCCATCAGGGTCCAGTTACTGGTTTGGGCAGGGGGTGGGATAATGTCCGGGGGTCTTGATGGATGGACACTCTGATCTCCACAACAGGCAAAGGCGTGTGCAGGGAACTGTATGGTCCCCAGATCTCCTTAAGCCAGAGACTTAAATAACTGCTGACATCTAACCTTGGGAGAGTAGGGCTCCTGCTGCCTTCCCCTTCCTGTCCTGGCTCATTGGGGTGTCAGCGAGCAGTGCCCCAGCTAGGAAGAAACAGTCTTCTGTATCCCTGGGTGGGATCAGGTGGACCCTGGCCATGGGTCATCTCTCTGAAAGTGCCAGAGAGCCCAGCTTGGGGTGCAGCCTTTGGCTTCTCTGCAAACCAGAGGTGCATGGGTGTGTGATGGGTGTTCTAGTCCAAGACCTCTCCACCCCTGTTGCCTTCTGCCAGCCCCAAACCAGCGGGTACCTAATTACTCAGTCATTCTATCCCTGTTTGGCTGGGCAGCTAAGCCCAAACATCTGGCCCCAGGGCCTGCAGCCAGGATGGGTAGCCAACCCCACTGGCTGCTAGCCCTGACCCTCGACACCTCCCTCAGGGTAGCTGAGCTGCATGTCTGTTTGCCAGCTTGCGACAAGCCCAGAACAGTAGCTGCAAAGGACTACACTCTGCGGGTGTAGATAAACTCCAAATTTGAACTCCATTAAACACATCAACAGTATAGACACCACACACACACACACACACACACACACACACGCACGCACGCACGCACATACGTACACACACCACACACATGCACACACATACACACACCACATGCCACATACATACACACACATCTCTCTCCCTCTCTCACACACACATACACACACCATATACCACATACATTCACACACACATTACACACACATCAATCAAATACATATCCATCATTATCCACCTGGGATATGACTGTTGGTAGAGAAAAGTCTAAAGAATGGAGTGGATAAATATTGATGCCTGGAAATCCATCCAGAACACCGGATGTGTACTGTAACACAGCATCCTCACATCTCTTACACCCCGGAGTATGGCGAGGACAGTCAGCATCCAGCTCTCTGGAAGCGGGTCAGGAGCAGACCTCCAAGACCTGTCAAATCACAACCTATGTCTTAGGCCATCTAGTTTACCTGGGGCTGGGAATGCATCTCAGTTGGTAGAGTGTTTTCCTAGCATGCACATGGCCCTGGGGTCGATCCCCAGCACTGCATAAAAAAGTGTAGTGGTTTGTGCCTATAACCCTCGGCACTAGGGAGCTGAAGGCAGGAGGATTAAGAGTTGAAAGTCATCCTTGGCTCCACAGGAAGTTTGAAGTCAGCCTAGCTTACATGAGACTGAAAAACAAACAGCTAAAACTTTCCTACGAGAAGGGCCACTGGGCCTTTTGTGTCTCTGTACTAATCTCTAGGCAGTTAAGTCTTGACCCTCTTTCCTGGAAGAGGCATGGGTAGTGGGCAGTTGTTAGTAAAAATAGTTACTGCTGGTGTCGCACACCTTTAATCCCAACACTTGGGAGTCAGAACCAGGTGGATTTCTGTGAGTTTGAAGCCAGCTAGGAATGCATAGTGAGACCACATGTCTAAAAGAAAGAAAGGAAGGAAGGAAGAGAGAAGGAAAAAGGAAGAGCAAGAAAGAAAGAGAGAAAGGAAGGGAGGGAGGAAGGATACAGAAATGGAGAAATTATGACCTCGAACTCACAGAGATCCGCTTGCCAGGCTTGTGTATGATTGTTTTGCCTGATACCCACGGAGGCATAGACATCAGATGCCCCGGGACAGGAGTTACGGGTGGTGGTGAGCTGCCATGCGTGTGGGGAATGGAACCCTGGTCCTCTGAAGGATCAGCAGGCGCTTTTAACTGCAGAGCCACCTCTCCAGCCCCCTGCTGTGAGCATAGGAAGGTAATTGTGCATGCAATACTCATCATACCTAACCTAAGAGCATGCCCTGCCCTTGGGATGGAAACCCATGGTCCTCAGCCATCTCTGCTGTCCCAGGCACCCAGTTCCCACTCTGCCAGCTCCATTATGACTACTGGTGGTCTGTTCTGCATATTGCCTATGAATGGAGCTGCCATCTGTGGTGGCCCTGTGACATTTCTTCGACTTCGCATTGACGGTTCAAGGCACCCCTGTGACGCCAGGACGTGTGCCCGGTTCATTCCTTTATGGTGCCTGATAGCAGCTCACGCACAGGTGAGTCACATTGTGTTCATTCATGCATCTAGTCTTCCGAAGTCTGCGATGTCTCCACTCTCTGGGTGACG